CAGTTGCCCGTTTGTCGACGGCCATGCGCACTGAACCGCATGCCGTCATGGAAGGCTTGATAAACTAGATATAGATAGTTGCACTCTGGAGAGTGCCCAGACAATCAGGACCATCCGCTTTATGCGAGGCTCTGGGTTGCGAAACTTGCGGTGCCTGGGCCCGCGCAGGACTGGGGCGTGGGGATGTTCGACCAAAATGGCTCATGTTGGCACTGACATCCTTGTCTTCGTGGATTGGTCCACCAATGATCCGCCCCACCCTCTGATCTGTGGAAGGGGGGCTGCCGGCCGCCCGGCATAACCCTGGGGCGGGATTTTGGCCAGTAGTCCGGGCGCCATTTCCATTGGATTTCCCCGGGTCTCCAGAGCGCGGTGAGAATGCAGGTCTGGCCATGCACCACATCCACGTCATCTTTCCTAGGACAGCGCCCTCGACGCTTGATTGCGCAGCCCTCCCGACAGGCGCCCGCCTCCCAGGGTCAGCGCTTGCTGGCAGTTTTTTTCTTCGGGTGGCATGGGCGATCTAGTAGACTGCGCCGGCCAGCCTGCCGGCAGATCAGCGGGCGTCGCCGCGAACATTTTCAGGGCACTTGGAGCAGGCGGACGCGACAAAAGAAGACCTCGGCGACTACCCCCGCAAAAGGGCGGCACATTGGCATGCTGGCGAAGCTGCCAGCGAGCGCGCGATCACGCAGCAGGAAACCGAGGTACGTGCGGCAGCTGTGGGAACAGATGTGGCCCACTATCATGATGCAGGCAAATATGTCGGGACATGGTTAAGGGCGACAAACACTCGAGCGAACTAAGCTAGGTAACCATGTAAAACACGTAAGTAAGTTTCGAGCTCCCGATGCCCTCCACCCATCCCCCCCCCCGCAGTGTCCTTGAAGCGTCGTGCTTTGCCTTGCGTTTTTTCCCCCTCGTCGGGCCCTGCTGGTCATCCTTCTCAACTCTCTTCCTCTCTCCCGCGCTCTTAGTGGTCTGCGTCTGTTCGTTTTTTTCTAATCGGGTCCCCCCGCTCCCCTTTTTCCCTCTCGCCCGTGCCCATCTGGTCGCCCCGCCCCCCTGCTTTTCTGCCTGCCCCCCCTGTCCTTGGCGTTGGTCGGGAACCAGTGGCGCAGGCCCTTGTTGGCCCGAGCACGCGCGCCGCGCGTGGGGCTGGCGGCTCATCGAGCTTCGAGGCAGGACGCGCCAACTGCCGCCCTTGGCCCTCCACCCCGTTGCTTTGGGTTCCCCCCCCCCGCACATTCCGGAACTCTGTCTTTCGGGGAGGTGGCTCGGACCCGATTGCGGCCCTGCTCACTTTGGCACAGCACCGAAGGTCGTGACAGGAAGTTCTAGCCCTCTGCGCGTCAAGAAGCAGCGAATCCTGGATTTGGTGACGCTTGAGCAAAACCATAGGCGACCAGGAGCTGAGGGCAACGCTATTCAAGAGGTAGCTGGAGTTGGCATCTTGACGCGCGAATGTCGAGGCCCTGCCGGCTTGGGAGGCAGGTCGCAGGCGGCGGGGGCAAAGTCGGGCCCGACCCACGGGAAGGCGATGTCGCGCCGAAGAAACCGATGAGAGGTGAGCTCTTGGAGAATCTGCGCCCAGTACTCGGTCAAGGCGGCCATGGTGGACTTGCGGCGGAGCGCTGCGAAAGATCGCGGGCCGACGGCGCGGGCAGGGCCAGGTCTCGAGGATATGCCCAGGAATGGCCGAGCAGCAGCTCCCTGGATCAGAGCTAAATGCGAATGAAGATCGCGCGCCAGCCAAGGAACTAAATGGGAGATTTGCGCGATCATGCGGCAGTGGGAAAGCATCAGCAGGGAAAGACACGGTGATGGGCGGCAAGGGCCCGGCGACGCCCACCGCCCCAAGGCGCGAGAGCGCGGGGGGGGAAGCCGCAGTTTGCAGCCCAGTTGGAGACTGGGAAAGGTCGAATTTGGGACCTGCTAGAGATGGCACCTTGCAAGATTGACGCGGAGCTTCACCGTCAGTTCAGGGCTTCGTCAGTCCAAGCTTTCGCTTGGAAAGCTGTGCTCCTCGTGGATTCAAACATCTACTCGCCAGGCTTATGGCGGGCGCTCTCACAGGAGCAGTTCCCGGCGATTGGATTGAGTTTCCACGATCAGCAATTTGTTCCCGCGGCTTACGGCCATGACATTGACGCTGTAGAACATGTGAAGTCGCGGGGCTTTTTCGGGGGTGGGCAGTTGCCCGTTTGTCGACGGCCATGCGCACTGAACCGCATGTTGTCATGGAAGACTTGATAAACTAGAAATAGATAGTTGCAGTCTGGAGAGTGCCCAGACCAGTCAGGACCATCTGCTTTATGCGAGGCTCTGGGTTGCGAAACCTGCGGTGCCTGGGCCCGTGCAGGACTGGGACGTGGGGATGTCCGACCAGAATGGCTCATGTTGGCCCTGACATCCTTGTCTTCGTGGATTGGTCCACCAATGATCCGCCCCACCCTCTGATCTGTGGAAGGGGGGCTGCCGGCCGCCCGGCATAATCCTGGGGCAGGATTTTCGCCAGTAGTCTGGGCGCCACTTCCATCGGACTTTCCCGGGCCTCCAGCGCGCGGTGAGAATGCAGGTGTGGCCATGCACCACATCCATGTCATCTTTCCTAGGACAACGCCCTCGACGGTTGATTGCGCAGCCCTCCTGACAGGCGCCCGCCTCCCAGGGTCAGCGCTTGCCTGGCAGTTTTTTCTTCGGGTGGTATGGGCTATTTAATTGACTGCGCCTGCCGGCAGATCAGTGGACATCGCCGCGAACATGTTAAGTGCACTTGGAGAAGGCGGACGCGGCAGAAGAAGACCTCGGCGACTACCCCCGCAAAAGGGCAGTACAATGGCATCCTGGAGAAGCTGCCAGTGAGCGCGCGATCTCGCAGCAGGAACCCGAGGCACGTGCGGAAGCTGTGGGAACATATGTTGGCCACGTTCATGATGTAGGCGAATTCTTCGGGACATTGTTAAGGGCGACAGACATTCAAGCGAACTAAACTAGATAACCATGTTAAACACGTAAGTTTCGATGTCCCGTTGCCCCCCACCCTTTTTTCCTCCCCCACAGTGTCCTTCTTGCGTCGTGCGCCACGTCGGGTCCTGCTGGTCATCCTTCTCAACTCTCTTCCTCTCTCCCGCGCTCTTAGTGGTCTGCGGCTGTTCTTTTGTTTTCTAATCGAGTTCTTCCCCTCCCTTTTCTCTCTCGCTCGTTCCCATCTGGTCGTCCCGCCCCCCTGCTTTTCTGCCTGGCCCACCCTGTCCTTGGCGTTGGTCGGGGACCAGTGGCACAGGCCCTTGTTGGCCCGAGCTTGTGCGCCGCGCGTGGGGCTGGCGGCTTATCGATCTTCGAGGCAGGACGCGCCAACCCCCGCTGTTGGCCCTCCGCCCCGTTGCTTTGTTTTTTTTGTTCCCCCTCGCACAGTTCGGAACTTTGCTTCTCGGGGAGGGGGCTCGGACCCGATTGTGGCCCCGTCTCCTTTTGCCACAGCACCGAAGGTCGTGCCAGGGAGTTCTAGCTTCGCCGCGCCCCCATCCCATCGCACATGAGCCAGGGGGGCGCCCCAAGCACGCCGAGGGTGTCAGTTGAGACGTTCGGCCCTGCACGCATATCACCACGCAGGTGTCCAGAACGTGCAAAGTGTTCTTTAGATGCGAGCCCCCGAAGCGCATTTACCTTTTCGTGTCTCCCTCTCCTTTTCCTTTTTCTCCCGTTCCCCCTTCGTTCCGGCTCCCGTCCCTTCCTTTGCGCTCTTCACCCCTCTTGCCCCTTCCTCCCAATTCCCGCTCCCCCCATCGTTCCCGTTCCTCACTCCCCCCTATCCACTTCCTCTTCGGTGCGGGCCGGGCCGCTGCTTGGACGACACATTCCCATGACGCAGCCCATTCTGCAGGAGAGGAGAGGAGGACCCTATAACACTCCATAGGTGAAACGGGGGAGACGCGTTTGTTCCATGGCCACCAACAAGATGCCCGTCCCGAGCGAGGGTTCGGGTTTTGGAAGCCCGCGCGTCGCAGACAAGATTGTGTTTCGAACAGATTGTTGATGAGGGTGGATCGCCAGTGGATCGCGGAAGGGAGGGGCGTTCGTTCGAAGCGGACGGAAATTGGGAGGGGCAGGATTTGGAAGCGAAAGGCACGGGAGGAGTTGGGCGAGACAATGCAGCATGCGGAATGTGGATGATTATGATGAAAGAGGGCGGTTGATGATGACGGTTATGATGATGATGATGATGATGATGATGATGATGATGATGATGATGATGATGATGATGATGATGATGATGATGGTGAGGATGCGGAGGAGGCTGACGATGGTGAGGATGCCAATAAGGATGAAGATGGGGTTGGTGATGATATTGGTGATTGGGGATGATGAGGGTTATTACGATGCTGGTGATGATGATGCTGGCGATGTTGATGGTGTTGATGGTGCTGATCATGGTGGTAGTGATACGTATGATGATGTTGATGCCATTGATTGTGATGATGGTCATGATGATGATGATGATGATGATGATGATGATGATGATGATGATGATGATGATGATGATGATGATGATGATGATGATGATGATGATGGTGCGGAGGAGGGGGCTGGCGATGATTCCAGGATGAGCAGGATGAGTGTGAGGAGTGGGACGAGGAAGAGGGGGATTCGGCATGAGGCACAGCAGCAGGAGGTCGACGGGGAGACGGAGGATGCACATGATGTTTATTGTGGGGAGGGCTCCCCCGCTCCCGTGGGCGAGTCGAGAAGAGGCTGAAGCCGAGAAGGGGAGAAATGTGAGGAAGGGTGATTTCTTATGAGGAGGAGGAGCAGGAGGAGGAGGCGGAGGAGGAGGCGGAGGAGGAGGAGGCGGACGACTAGGACCGGGATTCGTGAGACGGATGCAGAGCGGACGGGTAGGCGCAAAGGAGTACATCGAGACGGTGGAGGGGGAGGGGAAGGAGGGATCAACACAAGCGATAGGGTGGGGATCCCAACCCTCCCATCCATGGCCGCAGGACGAAGAGTTCGCGGCGACGTGTCTCCAGGCACACCGCCGCCCGCGGCGCCCCGTTCCCTTGCCATCATGCACCATCCTCTCAGTTGTCCTCATATAAGGGCCTCTCACGTGCGCGGATGTGCGCTAGGCTTCTCGACACTTCTGGTGTTCATGGTGTCCCCTGATTTGCATATCGAACCATGTGGGTTGGGGAAGTGTCGCGTGATGTTGTATGAAGATTTGGGTGTAAACCTGTTGTGCGCACAGCGGTCACACGTGCACTATCAGAGTGAGGGGGCCGAACGGCCAATCACTGTCCATGGGTGCGTGGCTGAAGTGGGACTCCGCGGTGCGGATTGTTGTTGTTGTTGTTGGTGGTGGTGGTTGTGTTGTTGTTGGTGTTGTTGCTATTGTCGGCGGTGTTGTTGTTGATAGTATTATTGTTGCGGTCGTTGTTTTTCGTTGTATGTTGTTTGTTGTTTGCTGCCCCTTCTGCGACCTGGCCCTTGACCCACCCGCGACCCACCCGCGATTCACCCGCAACCAACCCGCGACCTGGCCCGCGACCCACCCCGCGACTAACCCGCGATTCGTCAGTAGTGACTTACCCGCGACCCACGCGCAACCCAACACGGGACCCACCCATTTGCTAAAATCAATCGGCGTTTGCGGCGGGCTCTTTGTATCATTTGATTCAAAGTCGGCACCTGCGTCGGATTTCTTCAGAGCCTCGCAGGCTGCCGACGACCCCTTCGCCCCCTCACTCTCATCCGCAACTGCGTCGTGCTATGCGTATATCCGGTGCACTAGGGAGCGTCTGCAGAGTATTCCCCTTCCTTCCCTCACCTTTCTGAGCTTCATCTCACCATTTGCCTTCTCGGAGTCTCCTCAAAATCACCCCCTCCCCCCCTCCTCATCCACATGCGCGCTGCCTGGCTGCCCCTACTCCACATCGTCCACTGAACTTGCTCTTCTAAGTATTAAGCAGCAGCATGAGCATCCTCACGGAGGTCCGCGCTGATTTCTTGGGACGGCGCTTCAGCCCCTTGCCGTAGCTGCGCCTCTGTCGCCGCCCCTGGCGAGCTCCGCGCGCCATGGGAGGGGGAGGGCAACGCCAGCTCGAAAAATCCACACGGACTTTCGAACGTTTGCGTTCTTGGGTTAATGGCAAGTTCCCGCCCGCGCGCGCCTCGTGCTCGTCACTTTCGCTAGGTTTCTCCTCTGGGTTTTCACCAGTGCCCGCCCGTTTCTGTTTCGATTTTTCCCCGTGAATTCCGGAGTTTCCAGGTCAGCACTAGTTCTAAAGTCACCGTAACGGACATCGGTATTACCATGATTCCTAGATTCAAGATTTCCTCTTCAAATTCTTACTCCTACTACTACTACTACTACTACTACTACTACTACTACTACTACTGCTACTACTTTTACTGGTGGTAGTAGTAGTAGTAGTAGTAGTATTACTACTACTACTACTGCTACTATTACTACTATTACTATTACCGCTACTACTACGAACACAACTACGACTACGACTACGACTATTACTACTACGACTATTACTACTACTGCCAGTACTACTACGACGATGCTGTTTACTTCTTCTATTACTTCAATTACTCCTACTACTACTACTACTACTACTACTACTACTACTACTACTACTACTACTACTACTACTACTACTACTACTACTACTACACTACTACTACTACTACTACTACTACTACTACTACTACTACTACTACTACTACTACTACTACTACTACTACTACTACTACTACTACTACTACTACTACTACTACTACTACTACTACTACTACTACTACTACTACTACTACTACTACTACTACTACTACTACTACTACTACTACTACTACTTACTACTCTACTACTACTACTACTACTACTACTACTACGACTACTACTACTACTACAACTACTACTAATACTACTACTACTACTACTACTACTACTACTACTACTACTGCTGGTACTACGACTACGACTGTAGTATTACCTTACTGCTACGACGACGGCGACGACGACGACTACTACCCACCTACTACTACTACTACTACTACTACTACTACTACTACTACTACTACGAATACTGCAACTACTACTGCTACATGTCTGACTACTAAAACTATGAGAAATACGACTACGACTACCCTTAGTATTACTACTACTACTACTACTACTACTACTACTACTACTACGACTATTACGACTACTACTAACACTACGACTACTTCTACAACGTTTACGAGTACTACTACCACCCAGATTTACACGACTTCGAGTGCTCTTGCAAGCATTTCTGCTACTATTAGTGCTCCTTCTACCATTACTACTACTACTGCTACTACGATTTCTTATTTCTAAAACCTTCCTTATACTTACGTTTAGTACTAGTACGATTGATACTGGTTTTAGTGTTGCACCATTGTTTACTAGGACCTACACTTCTACCCTTTTTTACCCGACTACTACTATGACCGCTACGAATACGACTACTACGTCTACGCTCCACTCCATTACTACTACGTCTTGTACTACTACCACTACTGCGACTACTCGTACTGCTACTACTACTGCTACTACCACTACTACTAATGCTACTACTCCTAATACTACTACCCCTACTACTACTACTAATACGACTATTACTACTACTACTACTACTACTACTACTACTACTACTACTACTACCACTACTACTCGTCCTAGTACGACTACCCCTGCTATGGCAATTTGCATTATCGCCATTACCACTACTACGCCTTCTGCTACTACTTCTGCTGCTACTACTACCACTAAGGCTAGTATTTTCCCAACTAGTTCACATATGTTCCTGATTTTTCACGACTGCTACTACAATTTCAACTGCCTCTATTTCAACCACTACGATTATTACTATTACTACTACTACTACGACTACTACCACTACTACTACGACTACTACTACTACGGCTACTACGGCTACTACTATTACTACTACTACTACTACTACTACGACTACTACTACTACTACTACTACTACTACTACTACTACGGCTACGATTGTTACCCCCACTTATACCACCACAACAATAACAACTACTACTACTACCACTACTACAACCACGACTACTGCTACTATTACGAAGGCTACTGCTATTACTACTACTACTACTACCACGATTACTGCTGCTACCAATCTTTCTATTACTATTGTATTTACTCCTACGATTACTACTACTTCTGCTACTACCACTACTACGGGTACTACTTATACTATTTGTACGCCCGCTACTATTACACTACTACTAACACGGCCACGACAGCTACTATTGTTACTATCGCTACTACTACTAAGATTTATTATTACAACCACATGTTGTAATACTACCACTACTTCCATTGCTTTCACGGCTACTCGCAGCACTACTTCTACGCTTGTTCGACGACTGCCATTGGTATGTGTTGTTTTATCACTACTTCTATTATTTGTCAACGATCACGTACCCCACGGCTATTTTTACTATTGCAATCGTTTCTGGAATTGCAGCTACTACGGCTGAAGCTGGGATTTTTTCATTGCTGCTATCAGTGCGACTATTTGTTGTACGATCAGGAGTTTTTCATACGATCACTGTCACTTCAACGACTACCATGGTTCAAGCTACCACCGACTGTCGTGCCTACTGATACTACTACGACTATTATTTCCACGACGTCCTACTACGTTTACGTATCACCACTACATTTACTACTACTACTACTTTTACTATTACTTTTACTACTACTACTACTACTACTACTACCACTACTACTACTACTATTACTACTACTAGTACCTTTACCACTACTACTACTAGGATTTGAATGCTTCATTCTCTTACGATTACGATTGCTGCTACTCTTGCTTCTCCCACGACGTGTGCTTTGACTGTTACTTATACCACGAATGTTACTTCCGCTGCGAATTGTCCGATTCTTGTTTTTTTTATCATGATTAATACCACTACGATTATTACTACTACGACGGCGTTTACTACTATAGCTGCTTTTACCACCACTACTAGTACTACGACGACTACTGTCTCTATGACGATTACTACGACTTCTAGCTCGACTACCAGTACTACTACGACTACAACAACAACAACAACTACTACTACTACTACTACTACTTGCACTGGTTGCAATATGATTCTTCTTACCCTCGATATTACTACTACTACTACTACTACTACTACTACTACTATTACTACTACTACTACTACTACTACTACTACTACTACTACTACTACTACTACTACTACTATTACTACTACCACTATGAGAACTCGAACTACTACTTGTATGTTTAGCATTAGCAATTTGATCGGTATTGCTCCGGCCACTTTTCCCAAACAGCGTTTGCACCAAGGCTTGGGCTGCTTCTAACAAGTGGCAGGCTCTTCCAGTCTTTCGCCGTGTGCCTGCCCGTGCCCGCTTTGGGTTTTTGTCCCGATGCAGTGTACGTAGCTCATGACAACACGAATGCAACCCTTCACCGCCGACAGCTCTCATCCGACCCGATCCCTCCCAGCAGTTTTTCCTTGTTATTCCGCGCGCTGGGGGGCATTGGTCGCCTCCTTTGCCTCCTTTCCCGAGAATTCCCTTCTCGCTGAATGCTATGCGATAGCAGCGGCTTGCCCCCCCGTGAGCCGGTCGCCAAAGGTCGCGGTGGTTTAGGGCTAATTCTAGTGCTTCGCGTATCCCCACCAGCCCGTCCAGAAATGAGTCCCAGGGGAGTGGAGGTTATGAGGGAAGCGGGGCAGCATGCAGAAGAACAAAGGGCGGGGTGAGCCGCCATATACCCCAAGAGGGGGAGGATGTAGGAGGAGCCGTCGTCGTCGGAGTAGGAGGAAGAAGAGGAGGAGCAGGAGGAGGAGCAGGAGGAGGAGGAGGAGGAGGAATAGAAGGAGGAGGAGATGGAGGACTGCGAGGACGAGGAGGACGAGAAGGAGGAAAAGGAGAAGGAGGAGGAGGAGGAGGAGGAGGAGGAGGAGGGGGAGGGGGAGGAGGGAGGAGGAAGAAAAAGAGGAGGAGGAGGAGGAGGACAATTGCGAGCTTGGGGGCCTCTTGGGCCGTCCTTGGGGCCTCTTGGCGGTCCCGGGGGCCTCTTGCGTATCTCGGGGAGCCTCTTGTGGCCTCGTGGGGGTCTCTTGGGGGCCTCTTGGAGGCCTCTTAGGGGCCTCTTGGGGCCTCTTGGGGCTCTCTTGGGGCGCTCTTGGGGCGCTCTTGGGAGCCTTCGAGGCGCTCTTGGGGCCATCTTGGAGGAGATCTATCAAAGAAGGGGGGGTCCCCAATTAGCGCTGCCCCTCTAGAGTGCCTCGAGTCGCCTCTTGGGCCCCCCCAAGAGGCCAAAATCCTTCCAAAACCTATGTAAAATCAATGTTTTTTTGTTTTCTCGCCTTTTCGCTCTTGGACCCGTCTTGGGAGCCTCTTGGGCCTCTTGGGGGTCTCTTGGGAGCCTTTTGGAGGCCTCTTGGGCGCCTCTTGGGGCCTCTTGGGGCGCTCTCGGGGCGCTCTTGGGGCGCTCTTGGGAGCCTTCGGGGCGCTCTTGGGGCCATCTTGCAGGAGATCGATCAGAGAAGAGGGGGTCCCCAATTAGCGTTGCCCCTCTAGAGTGCCTCGAGTCGCCTCTTGGGCCCCCCAAGAGGCCAAAATCCTTCCAAAACCTAGATAAAATCAATGTTTTCTGTTTTCTCGCCTTTTCGCTCTTGGAGCCGTCTTGGGCCATCTTGGACTCTCTTGGGGCCTCTTGGGGGTCTCTTGGCAGCCTCTTGGAGGCTTCTTGGGGGCCTCTTGGGGTCTCTTGGGGCCCTCTTGAGGCGCTCTTGGGGCGCTCTTGGGAGCCTTCGGGGCGCTCTTTGGGCCATCTTGGAGGAGATCTATCAAAGAAGGGGGGGTTGCTTATTAGCCCCGCCCCTCCAGAGTGCCTCGAGTCGCCTCTTGGGCCCCCCCAAGATGCCAAAATCCTTCCAAAACCTAGGTAAAATCAATGTTTTGTGTTTTCTCGCCTGTTCGCTCTTGGAGCTGTCTTGGGCCATCTTGGACGCTCTGACACCTCGCGACCGGCCCCGTCCAGGTCAGTGGGGAGGGGTAAGGGGAGGGGTAAACCCCTCCCCGAAGGGGAAGAAGGGGGTTGGCAGAGGAAACTCCCTAGACCACCTACGCCCCCCCGTGAGCCGGTCGCCAAAGGTCGCGGTGGTTTAGGGCTAATTTTGCGTGTGGCCGATTTTGCCGCCGCCCTATCCCGGGAGGTGCTCGGCGTGCTGCTGCAGGACACGGCCGACGCTGAGGCGGGCCCGCTGGCCCACCCAGAGCCGTGTCCAGGGAGGCCAACAGGCAATTGGCAATTGGGGGCCCAAATTCAGCCATGTGGTGCCACATGCGAAGCCGCCTCGGCGGCAAAGGCGGGGAAACAGAGTCTGCACTGGCTGCGGCGACAGCGCCAGCGGCGGCAGCGGCGGCGGCGGCACAAGCAGCGGTAGCGGTGGCAGCGGCGACGGCAGAAGCTGCAGTTGACGGCGCCGTTATCTGAAACAGCGCTCTGGGATAATCAGGGCAGAAGTTTCCTGCAGCCACCAAGTGATCATAGTCGTCGTTGTTCTTCTCCTCATTTTCCTTGTTTGGCTCCTCCGCACCCCCCTCTCCGTACACCTCATCCTCCGCCGCCCCCAACTTGACACATTCATCCCCGCCCCACTGTTAAACCCAAAACGCATCAACGGTGTTGCAACGAACCTTCCCTCCATTTGCCATCTTGCATCCGTCAGGACAAAACATGTAAGCTCAGTTCTGAAAGTCACCGTTTATAAAACAACCGCCTGGTAATCCCCAATCGTGCCAGCACCCCCCTTTGGACTTCATCGCAGTGAAACAACGCTACCACTGTGTCAGTACAATCCTTGATCAGTCCAGCACATGGTTTTCGGCTGTTCAACACCGGGAATCCACGTGACTGACGCGCCTTGGCAACCACCAGCGCGCCAGGACACCATTGGAAGACCCAGGGCGGCCAATCGTAACAATCCGTCAACCTGTTTTACGTAACCGTTTCAACTCATGTGCGCAGCGTTCAGTCGGCAATCGAATGTGGGATCACCGTTTGGAAATTGCGACTTGTGCGCAAACAGGCCCTATGGGCGAGAGCGAGTTTTGGAAAACGGTCCGCTGTGTGTTCGGCAGCGCTCCCCCACGAAAGCCCAAACCAGATCACGGACGTGACATCGCTGACGACGGAAGTTGGGCGAACATCCGAATCTGTGACAAGGAAGAAGAAATACTTTCGAGAGCAAGGGCATTGAAGAGGCCAACGACAACCTTATTGTGCACACGACAAATTGCAAGGCGGCCAAACTCCATCAGGTCGGGGGTTGCGGTTGGGCGAACGGCAGGTCATCGCTGAAGTCGGCCTTCTTCGACGAGTGCCAGACCCAAAGGACTATGACGTTGTCTGCGCTTTGTGGTGGCGCCGAATTTCGGCCGAGATGGCGAAGGCGGCCGACAAAAGCGACGACAAGGACCTGGGCCGTTCGTCATCACCGCCAGCTCCAACGAGTCGGATTGGGGTTTTCGCAGGGATGGCCACCGCGGCGGCGGGCTCCGCATGACCCCGTATGACACGAGCGCGCCCGCCCCCGCCCCCGCCTCCCCCAACCGGACGGAGCAGCCGCGAATGCACTAGCAGCGGAGGGGCCCCGCACGACCCATCGGGACGGGGGCCCCCCCACCACCGCTCGGACACGAGCGAGCCAAAAGGCCATGCCCGCGCGCTGACGTCGCACCAGGCTCATCTCTGGCCCCCGCGCATTGATTGGCCAGGTGCGGCCTCGGGAGAGGCGGGCTGCACCCAGGTGAAAACATCGTCCGCTTGCCCAGGGAACGGTTCCGAACTCCAGTCGGCTGGCGATCGCCACCCACGTCGAAACGTCCGCCCCGTCCGCGGGCCCCCGTCCGCCGCGGGCGGGGGATGACAGACGGACATGGTTTCGGGGCCGCGATGCACGTCGCGGTCGCTCTGCCGCGGGAGCCCTCGCTCGGCCCGCGACAGTTCAGGTCGAGCGGCATGGGCTGAGACCCGCGTGGTCCCCGGCGCAGTCCTGGTTGGTCCTCAGCGTCACTTGCGCGACCTCACGAGTGGTGCGTCTCGGCAACGCGCCGCCGAAACCTGCGCGTGAGGAGCAGGAGGATGCGCTCGAACAGCCGAACTCGGACCTGCACTTACTCGTCGCGAAGGAGGGTGTTCCGCTGGGCGCGAAGGCGACGCTGTGCGCCCACGCAGTGACGAGCATGGGGAAGTTCGCCAATGTGACGCATTCGAGCGGCGTTTCCGGGGCGTTCGCCAAGGGTTCGCCCGAACTGCACGCGGAGGTTCGGATAGAGATCGCGCGAGGGTGGCGGCGCTGGCGCCCGCCTGGCAAGCGGTGCGCTTTCGCCTCGAGCAGCAGCCGAATAAGCAGGGCGAGGCCGACGCGCGCCACGAGGGTCAAGCCATCGAGCATAACCGATCACCATGCGACGCGGATTCTAGAAGGCAAGTTGGATGATCGAGGAGGGCCAGATGCCGCGAGAACAGGCAGAGAGATCGCGCGCGGGGGCATCAGGGCCGAGGCGCCGACGTCGGCCTCCCCAGAGGACCCCGACCTCCCGGCCCCGACTTGGCCAAAATCAGTGGCGATGTTGTCGAGGGGCGCTGCGCCCGCCTGGGTTGAACCTCCGCGGGGGCCCAGGTGCGCTGCGGAAGCGCGCGGTGACGATGGGCGCAGGCATCATCGCGCTGGCCGGGCAGGGCGAATTGCAGTCGCAGGCGCATTCGGAGTGCGTTCTACAGGGGGGCGCGTCTGGAACCTCGCGCCAAGGGGCGCCCGAGGCGACGCGGCCGCGCGCTCGCTTCGGAAACTGGCGTTGCAGCGCGGCCACCAGGCTCGCGAGAAAGCGCGGCAGCTGGCGCGGCGAGATCGCGCGCACTTCGGCGCTGCGCGTGGGCCGACCTGGCGGTCAAGGAGCGGCGCTTCGCGACTCCGTTGGCCATCGACGGCGCCGCGGCCCCGCGCGAGCCCGAACTGCTGCGGCGCCGGCCGCGGCAGGGGGGCCCAGCCCGCCGAAACAGACGCGCGAGGGCGGGGCGCGCGAAGGAGGCGGCAAGGCTGCCGACCACGACGGGGGCGGGCTGCCTCGCAGGCGCTGGATGGCCAGAAGATCTGCTTCAGGTACGTCTCCAAGATGGCCGAGAATTGCCCGCGGGCGCGGGCGAGGTGCGCTGCCGCGCCGTGGGCAATTTCAGCATATCCAGCTCATCAGAATGCGGGGCCGGGCTATTCGGCGCCGTGCTGCGGGCGAGATTCTTCGCGTCGGGAGACGAATGGCCAGCGTGACAATTCGTTTAAGCCGACGAAAGGAAACGAAGGCGAAATGCAGGTTCTTCACGGTCACATTACTCGGCGTCCTCGGTTTCCTGGCGCGGAGAGTTCTAGGTGCGGGGCTGCCTCGAGGCGGGCCAGATCGGCCGCTACTGCGACCGCGCCAAGTGCACCGCGGACCTGTCTGAGGCGAGGGCGGCGAGGGCGGCCGCCTGGTGCGAGGAGGCGGTCGAACGAGGCGCCATCCACGCTGGCGAGCTGGAGTCGGGCCGGTGGGCGCGCGGGCCTCGCGGCGACAGTCTTGGCGCGGGAGAAGACGCCGCCGGGGTCGGCGCGCGCGGGGTTCGCCAGCGTCGCAAGGCAGGGCGATGAAGGGGGTCTCCCAGCCGTGGGCGACGGGGCTCGCGCTGGCGCGGATCGGCAACCGATTGGGGGAGCGGGGCGAGTCGCCCATCGACCGAGGGCGGCGGGCGCCCCAGCTCGGATGCGAAGGCGGATGGGGGGGGGGGGGGGGGCGGGGGCGCTGCTGGACAAGCGGCTGCGAGGCGCCGCCGATGGGCAGCGCGCGAGGGGCCCGCCGGCGCGCGCTCGAGGTAGAGGGGGAATGGCCCCCCTGGGCGCGGGCCAAGTCATCGCGGAGCCCGAGCGCGATCCCCCGCGCGAGGCTGCTCGCAAAGCCTGGGAAGCGCCGCCAGAAGGCGAATCTAAAGACGACGGGGTTCGACGATCACCGGGGGAACGCTTGCGCGGCGAAGGGGCAACATCGACCAAGCGGTATTTGACGGGCCTCTTCGCCGAGCTTTCGTAGGAGCTGAGATCGCGCAGGACGGCACCGAGCCAGGGGCTCGCACCAGAGCGGGGTGCCAGGCGGCGGGCGACCGCAGCGGCGAGTCCCTCGGGACCCACTCGGCGGCCTCTGACCTGGAGCGGCGCGTGCTCTACGCGTTGATCATCGAGGGAAGGGCGGTCGTCGCGGGCGGGGCGCCCGCGGCGGTGCGCGGCCGGAGGGGCCGCGGGCGCTCGCGGGCAGCATCGCCCAATGCGTCGTGGACGCCGCAGGTGGCGACGACTGCGCGCGGGGCCCCGCGCGACCTCGCAGGGCAGGGCCCAGCGCGATGTCGGGGGGGCGACTCAAGCTGCCCCGCTCCTGAAGGAGGGCCCCTCTCCGACCCCGAATTCCTCCCCGTGGAACCCTGCGCCGCCTCGGAAGGCGAGGGCCGCCCTGGCGGGAGTTGCCCATGCGCTACCTTCAATGGCCGTTGAGCGACCCTTGGTGGGGGCGAGGGCCCGGCCCACTTTGGCCGGGGCGGCGTTTGGGCCGGGCCTGCGGGGGCCCCCGGGGGCTTGGGGAGGGGCCCCTGAGCTACCTTCCCCGCCCCCCTCTGCGCGGCGCGGCGCGGGGGAAGGGGGCGCGGACGTTGCCCGCGCGATGGGCGAGGCGCGGCGGGCGGGCCGCGACGTTCGCGACGTCCGGCGGGACCTGTTGGACCGAGCCCCAAGCGCCACCTGGCCGCCGCCCTTCTCTCCATGGGGGCTCGCTCCGAGCGGCGGAGGAAGGCGTCAAGTGCCCGGGCGCCGCGCGGGCCCCGGGGCAGAAGGGCCCCCGTCTCCGCGAGCCGCGACGCAGGCATCAGCGCCACCCGCTTTCCTTTGCCGCACTCGCACCACTTATAGGGCCGTTCGAGGAGGCGTCTCGGTGCGAGGATACGAACGCGCACTCTCTCGCGCTGCCCGGCGCCCGCGGCCACTTGGGCTCGGGCGTTCGGCTGGCTTCGCGGCCGCCCCGGGGCGTCGAGTGGCCGGGGTTGCCGCGCGCCCCTGCTCAACAGGGCCTCCGTGTCCGCCACTCTCGAACAAATGCATCAAATGTTCCCCATCGCCGCTCCATACGTTCGCAAACTGGCTCTGCGGCGAGAGCAAGATTTGGAAAAGGGACCCGACCTGTGTTCGTGAAAGGGGCGCAATCGTTTAAGACCAAGGTGCGCGGCGCTTAGGCGTGAGCCACATGTCGAAGGGAACCGCCCTCCATCCGCTAATTTACTGCAAGCTCTTACAGACCTGTGCGCGTGGCGCTGCGGCGAAGATTTCATTTGGAAGTCCACCAGCCTTCCATCCGTGAGCTCTTTCGGACTTTGCGACGAATGTGCGCGGAGCGAGCGCAGGAACCACAGCGTCAAAAGGAACCGCCCTCCTGTGAGGCGGACGCGAACGTTCAAGATTCAAGACGACTTTGCGCGGCGACGCGGCGAGAGCGTCATTTGATAACGACCCGACAATCGTGAATATTGTGTGACGTGTGAAGACGAGTTCGCGCGGCGTTAAGGCGATATCCACATTTGGAAAACATCCGTCGTCGATCCGTGAACGCGCTGCAGAATTGCAGACGGATGCGCGCGGCGATGCAATCCGAATGCCGCATTTCGAAACGGAACCGCCATCCAACTGTGAAACGGTCGCGGGATTTTGGCAATGAAAATTGCGCGGCGGTCCGGCGAAATCCACCGTCAAAAAGAAACCGCCATCCACCCGTCAAGCGGGTGCAAACGTTCAGGGTGGATGCGCGCGGCGCTGAGACGAGAGCCGCAATTCGAGGAGCAACCACCCTCCATCAGTGAAGCTGCGCGCATGAAGACGGAAACCAGGCGCGCGACGTTCAGGTGTAAACCACGTGAAAATCTTGTCCACCTGTGGAACGCATTCTGAAACGGATGCGCGTGGCACCGCCGCGAAAACCACGTTTTGACAGCCACCCGCCCTTCAGCCGTGAAACGGCTACAAAAGTTTAACACGAATGTGCGCGGCGTTTGCGCGGAAACACACATTTTAAAAACAGTCCTCCGTCCATCCGAGCAAGTGTTCCGGCCCGCCTCACTGGCACGCTTCGGGGTGCGATTGAGAGGATAAGTATAAGGAAATGGGATGGGGGTCCCGCGCGCAGTAAAAAAGGGACGAGGAAAAGAAGGCGGGAAGAGGAGGATGAGGAGGAGGAGGACGGAGAAGGATGGAGGGTTGGAGGAGGAGGGGGCAGAGGAGGGAGGAGGAGGATACGGAGGAGGATACGGAGGAGGATGGGGGAGTATGAAAAGAAGGAGCGGACGACCACAACCACCCGAGCTTGCCTGCCCGCTGGCGGCTACGAGGGCTCTCTCCCCCCGTTGTGGGCGCAGGTGCCGATGAAGTCCGCGGTTGCGGAGAGAAGGCCGCAGGAGTCGGGACGGCCCCTCTCGATCGAGAGTCGATGGTTATGGGTCGTGTTCGGGCCTTGCTGCGCTGCCTGGCGTGCCTTTTTGGACATGGGTGGATCTGGCTCATCAAAGACTTGGCCCCAATGCGCCCGATAAGAGACTTATGGAGCGATTTGAGGAAGATTGCCCCGACCCTTGACGACTCTAAGAGGTCTCTCCCCAGAGGTCTCGCCTCTCTCGGCGTCTGGAGGGCGTTTGCTGGCGTCGGGGCTGCCACTCACGCACGCACACACACACACACACACACACACAAACACACACACACACATACACAGAACACACACACACACGCACACACGCACGCACGCTCGCACGCACGCACGACTGCGGTCGAGAGTTCGATAGGGCTGGCGACTTGAAACAGAATCGAGGCGTCTGAGGTCAGGCCCCGACCGTTCCACCATCGATGCCCTCCAATGATGAAGAAGCGCAACAACGCCGATCTCCGATTCTCCCTTCTGCTGCTCCGCCCTATAATTCTTCTTCGCATTCCTCCTCCCTCCCTCCCCTCGTCAGCGAACAGAAGCAGACCAGGTCCACTCGCGAGTTTCTCCTCTTGGAGTCAGTTTCTCTTTCGCATCTTTTCTCTCCTCCCCTCCCTTGTGCTCGATGGCTGTTGCTCCGCATGTTGGAGTCCTCTCCCCCTGAGTGGGAGAGCTGGCATTGTTCATCATCCTTGCATCGAATTCATGGGAAAAAGCCGAAACAGACCACAGCAACAACCACGACACCAGCAACAATCCCCCCAACGACTCCAGCGAATGCGACGTTTGTAGCAAACCTCCGGTTCACCAACCCAACGTGCAGGACCCCGCCAACGACCAGAAAGGCACGCAACCAGGCACCAATGCAGAATGAAGGCGCCGAGTTATGGCCCGATGTCATCCGCAGGAGCATGCGGAGGGCAGAAACATCAATGATGCGACATCATATTCTAATGTATTTAGAAGGCCTTACGGCTGGGCCTGCCGACCAAGAAGGGTGACGACGACGACGACCACGACGACATCGACAACGATGAGCTGATGACCCTGCCGCAGGCTCGGGACCAGGGGCGGGCGGTGGTGGGAGGAGGCGGACGAGGAGGCGGAGGAGGAAGAGGAGGAGGGGAAGGAGGAGCGGGAAGAGGAGGAGGAAGTTGAGGAGGAGGAACAGGAGGAGGAGGAGAAGGAGGACGAAAACGAGGAGGAGGAGGAGGAGAAGGATGACCAGTGTAAACCCAAAAGTCAACAACGTTGTTTGAACAACTCTCCTTCCAAGCTCCCTCTTCACCCCTACAACGGTTCATTTCCATTGAGGGAACTGTTTCGTTGGAAGACAACCATTTGAAGACCCTGAAGCATGCCAAAACATGATTCTCGGGATTCCAACGCCACGGATCAACCTGATTGTCGCGTCTTGGCGATTTTGAATTGTGCCAGAACGTTGTTCTTGGGCTTTCAACAACGCGAACCCACGTAAGTGCTGCACACGTACATAATCCTGAAACCTTCCAACGGGAATCCGTGATTTTTTGAAACATGTGTAAACCAATGCGCGCGGCTTACAGCGAGAACCACATTTTGAAAATGAACCGCCCTCAATCCGTGACGCTCATGCACATGTTTAAAACGAATGTGCGCGGCGCTGAGGCGAGAGCCGCATTTTGAAAGGAACTGCCCTCAATCCGTGAAACAACTTGCTCAGGTTTACACTGAATGCACGCGGCGCTAAGGCGAGAGCCACATTTTGAAAACTACCCGCCCTCAATGTGTGAAACCATTGCAGAATCTTCAAGCGAATGTGCGCGGCGCTAAGGCAAGAACCACATTTTGAAAACGGCACGCCATCCATTTGTGAAATTGTCGCCACTTTTCAAGCCTCAGAGTCATACGTGGTGAGGAAGTCTCAGGCGAAACGCCCGGCCCGCCCTTAAAATTGTCCTCGGGGCGGGAAAGGGAAACGTAATTTATATGGAAAGGAATGGAGGAAGAGGAGGAGGAGGAGGAGCAGGAGGAGGAGGAGGAGGAGGAGGAGGAGGACAAGGACGAGCACGAGGAGGACGAGGAGGTCATTGATGAGGAGGAGGACGACGACGAGGACGAGGAGGAAGAGGAGAAAGAGGAGAAAGAAAAGGAGGAGAAACAGGAATGAGGAGGAGGGGGAGGAGGAGGAGGAGGAGGAGAAAGAGTAGAAGAAATAATCATAATAATAATGATAAGAAAAGGAAGAAAGAGGCGGGTCGGGGCTGGGGCCAGGGGCAGAGTTGGGGCCGTCGCCAGGCCGAGGCATGGGCCGCGGCCGAGGTTGGAGCCCGTCTTTCCCCCCTCAGAAAACTTCGGGTCGTTAGATTTTAAGAACAGACCTCCCGGGCACTCCCACCGTGCATCCTGCATACCGCGGCCGCCCGACCCCAGGTTGTCCCGAGTGTCCCGGTGATCCCGCCTAGCGCCCTCGACAAACACGACAGAAGACATTTTGCATACCGCGGCCGCCAGACCCCAAGTTGTCCCGAGTGTCCCGGGTATCCCGCCTCGCGCCCTCGACAAATATGACAGAACACCTCCTGCACACAGCGGCCGCCCGACCCCAGGTGGTCCCGAGTGTCCCGTATCCCGCCTCGCACCCTCGACAAACACGACAGAACACATCCTGCATACCGCGGCCGCCCGACCCCAAGTTGTCCCAAGTGTCCCCGTTATCCCGCCTCGCACCCTCGACAAACACGACAGAACACACAATGCGTACAGTGGACGCCAGACCCCAAATTGTCCCGAGTGTCCCGGTCATGCCGCCTCGCGCCCTCGACAAACACGACAGAACACATCCTGCATACCGCGGCCGCCAGATCCTCAGTTGTCCCGAGAATCCTGGCTATCCCGCCTCGCGCCCTCGACAAACACGACAGAACAAAATATGGCACAACAGAACATGACAGAACAGAGCAAGAACATGACAGAATATGGCAGAATATAACATATCAAGTTCATGACACAATAGAGGACACAAGCACATCACATCACATATCAGCGCAGAACATGACAGAACAGACAACGACATAACACAACATGATATATTATAACCGAGCACCACAGAAGACATACTGACATAACATTTCATATCATGACACAGCGTCACCAAACATATCATAAGACGACAACTGAGCATAGCGGCGAACACGCCATCATACAACATGTCACACCAGAAAATATTATAACATTAGTTTGGTTCGAGCGATCCCCACCGAACCCTTCGGCGTTTGGTCCCAACGGTGCGCGCTTACTGGAAGGATGTGCGCAGTGCCCGACGGCGTCTGCCAGCGCGGCGGCTGCGCCAGGTCGCAAGTTGATGTTATAACAGATCATGACTTGCTATGCTCGTATGTGGCGATTTGGCGATATGCTACACTGTCGTGTTATGATATGGCCTGCGATAAAGTGCAATGATATGGGATGTTTTGCCATGGTGTCTTATGCATTCCTCGGTTATGCGATGCTATGCTGCCTTAGGTCGCCTTCGTTTATACCATGATATGATCCGATGTGCTATGTGATGGTATAACATGCTCTTTATTGTTATGATATTACTATGCTATGCTCTGTCATTGTATGGTATGTTCGCGTTCTGGTATGTTATCTTCTGGTGTGGCATGTTTTATTATTGCGTGTTCACCGCTATGTTATGTTGTCGTATTATGGTATGTTTGGCGACGCTGTGTCAGATATGATATGTTCTGTCAGTGTGTCTTATGCGGTGATCGGTTATGTTATAGTATGTTGTGGTTTCTCGTTTTCTGGTCTGTCATTTTCTGCTCTGATTCGTTGTGTGATGTGCTTGTGTCGTCTATGTTGTCATGATTTTGCCTCTATTTTGTCATGCGATTGATATGTTATGTTCTGCCATGTTCTGTCATGCTCTTGCTCTGTTCTGTAATGTTATGTTGTGCCATATGTTGTTCTGTCGTGTTTGTCGAGGGCGCGAGGCGGGATAGCCAGGATTCTCGGGACAACTGAGGGTCTGGCGGCCGCGGTATGCAGGATATGTGTTCTGTCGTGTTGGTCGTGGGTGCGAGGCGGGATAAGCAGGGACTCTCAGGACAATTTGGGGTTTGGCAGCCGCGTTATGCAGGGTATGTTCTGTCGTATTTGTCGAGGGCGCAAGGCGGAATAACCGGGACATTCGGGACAACTTGGGGTCTGGCGGCCGCGGTATGCAGGATGTGTTCTGTCGTGTTTGGCGAGGGCGCGAGGCGGGATAACCAGGACTCTCGGGACAACTTGGGGTTTGGCGGCCGCGGTATGCAGGATGTGTTTTGTCGTGTTTGTCGAGGGCGCGAGGCGGGATAGGCAGGAGACTCGGGACAACCTGGGGTCTGGCGGCCGCTGTACGCATTGTGTGTTCTGTCGTGTTTGTCGGGGGTGCGAGACAGGATAACCGGGACACTCGGGTTAACTTAGGGTCGGGCGGCCGCGGTATGCTGGATGGAAGTGGCTGGGAGGTCTGTCTTTTAAATCTAAAGACCCCAATGTGTCCGGTCGGGAATATCATTAGCATGCCATAACATGACAGAGCACACCATAGTAATATCATAACAACAAAGGGCAGGACATAACATCACATAACACATAATAGTTTTGCATGGTATAACATAAGGCGACATAATACAACATAGCAGATCATAACCGAGGAAAACATAAGACACCTTGACATAGCATCCCATATCATTGCACTGTATCGCAGATCATATCATAACACGACAGTATAGCAAATCGCCGCCTACGAGCATAGCAGGTCATAGTACATTGTAACATCAACTTACGACCTGGCCCGGCCGCCGCGCTGGCCGACGCCGCCGGGCACTGCGCACATCATTCCAGTAAGCGCGCGCACCGTTGGGACCAAACGCCGAAGGGTTCTGTGGGGATCGCTCGAAGCAACATATTTGTTTTAGATTTCGGCAAGTTGACTTGCATGACAGTTTGCCCCCCCCCCCCGCTTCTGATTCACGCAGTACTGGGCCGAAAAAGCGTGCAAGTGCTTTTCGACTTGCGTGATTTCCGCCCACCCACCCCCCTGCGTTTAAGTGCATGCGCCATTGGGGCATCAATTTGGTTCAAGATGGGTCTTTTGTCAAGTGCAGTTCTCTGCCTAATGGATCGCCATCGTGGCCCCAACGGCATGGACTTGGCAGAATTGTGGCTTAATGTCTCCAAATTTGCACTCTGAATGATTCCTGTGCTCATGCGTTCTGGTGCTCAGGCGTTCCGGTGCTCAGGCCACATGGCACGCCCATCGCTTCAGGTATCGTCAATTCCCCACAAAACGCCGTTGCACTTGCGAGGCGCGGAGTCCCCCCCCCGTCCAATTAACGTGCAAGTCGCTTGTGGCTTGCTTCGGGTTCAGCCCCCCCCCTGCACGCAAGCAATCTTGCCGGGGAAAACAGGCTCTTGGGCCAGGACCAGAGCCGGGGCGGGGCCGGCAGGGGCCACGGGCTTCATTGCTGACAGGGCGACCACCCCTGAGATCCTGGCGCATGCAATCTTTTCGAGCAGGGCATTTTCGTTCGGTTTCGGGCCCCGGGACCCTCACAGATCGATCGGGCTTGAAAAATGAAACAGGAAGATGGGATCTGGGGCTCTGGTCGTTGTTTTTTTTTGCGATGTTGCAATTTTTTTCGCAACGTCGGATCTCAGGGACCCCCGTGTCTTCTTTTCTCCACAGGGGGGGGGCCAGCAAGGGTGGGGGTCACGACCCCGGGGAACCACCCCCCCTGGCCAGGGTCAGGACACCCACTGGGACCCCTCCTGGGCCCCCCGCCCCCCTGGGACCAACCCTGGTCCCACCCCGGGCCCACCACCCCGGCGGAGAAGGGTCAAAAAGAGGGGGGCTTCCCGTCGTCGTGATCACGACATTGTTCGATCCCTTTTTTTTGTTCGATCTCCCTTACGACGACGGTGATCCAAAGAAGTCTGGCGTACTTCGTTTGGAATGGGTTGGCCTCGCGTCGAAGAGCCTGTCACACACGCCGACTGGGTCAGCGGATTCCATATACACAACAAAAGAGATTGCCGATGGGCGAATCATGTGGCTCACCACCCCCCGACAGGCTTGACATAGAGAGTGCTAAACTTGAGTCCGAACCTTGACATTGGACAACAAGGACGCCTGCGACAAGGAGGGCAAGCACAAAGATGGGACGATGACATTCGGGAATTTTTAAGCAGCCTAGACGGGCATAACTTCGACGCCGACGCTGGGTGGGACCACATCCGGGCAGCAACAAACCCACGACAGCACGAATTTTCCAATACAAACGATTCGTGATCGTTATCAGCCGCTCGGAACACTGAGTAGTGGCTATCGGCTATCACGTGGGTCTGCCCACGTACGTTTCTCACTTCTGAGGCCGCGGCCCTCACAGCGTACCCTGAGGGCACGGGCGGGCTTTCTTGTGGAGCGCGCACGACTCTGGCGCTTCGCCTCGCTTCGCTCTCCCCTCATCAGCACGCCCTGGTTAGTTATCCATCAGAGAACGTCGATCCCCCTTTCCCTCGCTCTTCCTAGCTCGTGCTCATCGTGACGCTGATGGGACTCCTCGTCATCAGCGGTCTGCTCGCATATGACCGTGTCACCAGTAATCCAGACATCGTCAGACGGCATGCCGTTTGGTAAGGGTCGGAAAACGCGTTGTTGTCACAGGCCCCAGCAGATGACAATCTCAGGGATGCGTATTTAAAATGTGTGGTAATATTTAGGAATGTTACCAAGATGGGGTGATGCTAATCATAGGGAATGATACCAAGATGTGTTCCACGCTGATTTTGTTGGCATGGGTTGCTTTTGACGGGAATCCCCATTGTCTGTTTCCAGGAGTGTGGTTTTGAGCACATGCGTCTATGCAAAAGAGTGCGATTGTGAGTATATGCGTTTATGCAATCATCCACAGCTCGCATCTATTCCTCCCCCTTGCCCTCTTTGCCCCATGTTCTTTTCTCTCGCACTCTTTCTCTCATACATTCCTCATCCATCCTTCCCTATCTCCACTCCTTCCTTCCCCAGCCACTTCCCTTCTCCCACTCAGCCTGCCACGTTGACTTTCCCTTTGCCTCTTTCTTCAATTAGTTACCATCCTTATCTTCCCTCTCCTCCTGATGCCCCCAGAGGTGTTTTGAGGCCAACACATGTGTTTCACGCCTCGATCCTAGGTTCCCGACTTGAGAAACGCTAGGTTTGGGAATTCGGATATTTATGACAATGTGAACGAACCAATCCACATCATACCTCTAGGAGTGCTGGAACTACGACCCAGAAATTCTAGAATTACGAAGCGGAGTTTTACAATGGACGAATACGCAACAATAGCGCACGAAATCACGCAACTTAGTCGTGCAAATGCCCCAGGTTCATTCCGAGAGAGCAAGTATTCCGATGGCCAATCTTCACGCGTTATTTTCATGCACGTTGTAATCGCCAAAACGTGTGTTACGTGTGAGTGGTGCGCGTGTAAGTATGATACGCAATGAAATGGCAAGTCATATTGATGAAATCGTTGCTATACTGCATGATGTTGCCATGTTCTATTGTGCCGCACGCCTGGACGACCTCATAAATCCGATGGCTCGTTCTGCCCGACGAGGTGAGTACGAAGCTACCGTTTGTGCAGAGTCTGGCTTCCAGGTTGCTCCAGCCTGTGTTCGATTCTCCGCCCGTGAGTCTTTACCTCCCTCACTGTTCTCGCTCCCCTCCTCCGCCGGCAGGAGGAGGTCCGGGCTGCCCTGGAGCGCGCCCGCGTGGGCGAGGGTGCCCAGGACTTGCCCGGCCCCTCTCGCGGCTAGGCGCAGCCAGCGTCTCTTGTCATGCTTCCTCTTTTCCTCTGGCCCCTTCGTGCTGAGCATTTGTGTTTCGCGTTTCGTTCATTATGTCGGCCCCAGGCGGCTTTCCTCTTGGCTGTTGGCCTCCTTCTGTTGTCTGCCTTCGCTTCCTTGGCCTCCGCATTCCTTCTCGTCTCACGTTTTGCATGACGTGCAGACGTTCTGAGGGAAGCGGGCTTTGTGGCCGGTGAAGTGTTTGATTTGAGTCGTTTGTTGAAGGGCTTGTGGCCTAGGAGGGGGCCTTGAGATGCCGCGAGTGGCGAGTCACATCAGGACATATGATTCCCTCGTGAGTTGTTTTCTTCATGGTGGCCACCTGCTCCTCCTCCCTCTACTCAGACAGGGAGGCATAGTGTCCAACATAATATGAAAATGAATTCTGCGTCTCAGAAGCGCCCCTATCGAATTGTTCGCTTCGGATTCTCTGACGTTCCCTGCTGGAGAAGTACTCAGGGATGATCGCTTTGGTTCCGATTAGGTGTTGTTCTTTCGTTCCACCGAACTACTCCTTTGTCCTGTCCTCCGCATTCGCCCTCAGCCTTGCTCCTCCGCCTTCTGGGTGCAAGGGGGTAGAGGAGGTGAAGAGCAGCAGGTTGAGTACCCCGCGGGGAAGCATCAGCACGCGGAGGTGGACGAAGGGGCGCAGGATGAGGACGTGCAGGCGGATGGGGACGAGCAGGAGGATGATGGGGAAGAGGAGGAAGAGGAGGGAAAACGTAGGATGAAGAGGAGGATAATGATGGGGAGGTGGTGGAGGAGGAGGGAGTAAAAGTGATGCTGAAGAGGGGGATGCTGATATCTTTCTCATGGTCCTCCTCCTGCTCCTTCTTACTCCCTCATCTTCGACATGCCATGGGGGGTCGCCCGCTTGAAAAGTCTGGCAAGTGGAATGCGGACTGGAGTGACTGGATGGATCGAAGCGCATGATCTGGCCACTTGGCTTCGGCACAGGAGGGGAAGGCTTTCCTTTACGCCAGAATGCGGGCGACGTAGGCCACACGCACACACACACCATGAGTTGCAAGCCTTCGATCATCGATCAGCAGTGGTTATCTCCCTCAAAAACCACGGCGTCAGCTCCTCCTCTTCCCCCGCCCCCGGAGCGGGCGCCTCACCCTCCTCCTCCTCCTCCTTCTCCTCCTCACCCTCCTCCTCCTCCTCCTCCTCTTCCTCCTCCTCCCCAACCCCTAGAGCGGGCGCCGGAAGCCAGCAGGACCGAGCTGGCGCTGGAGCCGGCGCCGCCGCCCCCGCTGGCGGCGGGCACGGCGCCGCCGCCCGCGCTCGTTTTCGGCTTTGTGCCCCGTCGTCGCCGCCGCCGTGGCGTCGTCGCTGGCGTTCTGGGGACGTCAGCTGGCCGCCTGGCCGATCCTGGCTGGAGGAGGAGGAGGAGGAGGAGGAGGAGGAGGAGGGGGAGGAGGAGGAGGAGGAGGAGGAGGAGGAGGAGGAGGGGGAGGAGGCCCAGGATCGGCGTATGCGCCCTCCTTGCCTGGTCAGGGAGACGTCTACACCGGGCCTGGGCCCAGGCGGCGCTCTGGGAGCGTCAATTGAGCGGCGCAAGAAAACGGGGTCTTCTTCGCCGACATTGGCGCGTAAGCTGCCCGCGTAAGGTCGCGCGCGAGCTACCTCGTCTCCACTGTGCATTGCCGCGCGGGCGGCCCGCGTAAGCCGCCGCGTACGGTCGCTGTGCCATCTGGCATAAGGCCCGTTTTTGATCGTCGCTCAACTGGCCAACTGGCCGATCCTGGTTGGGCCCATCCTGGGCCCAGGATCGGCGTGAGCGCCCCCCTGGCCCAGGGAGACGGATGCACCGGGCCTGGGCCCAGGCGGTGCCTGGCCAGGCTCGGTGAGGCGGCCATGTGACGTTCCCTGGGTCGTGGTCGTCGCTCTCGTCTGCATCCGTCTCGTCGTTCTCGTCGTCGCCAGGAGTTTGGCGGCGGGGGGTGGAGGGCCATCGCTGCTCTGACAGCAGGCAGACTCCCCACCGGGCCTCTCGGCCTGGCCGGTTCCCCAGATCCCGCGCTGGATCTCTGTACTTGAAGCGCCGCGCCTTCTGCCGCTGGCCTCCTCGGACCGAGCCATCCTGCTGTTAGGCACGGGGGGCCGTCTAGAAGCGATATTGAGACATCTCGGGGTTCAAGCAGGGGAGACACAACAAGCATTCAGAAGCCTGTCGGCAATGCGTTGTCAATGCTCTTTGCCCTATCTTGGGCGTCTTGGGCTCCTGATGGGCCTTCTCGGAGGCATCCTGGGGCCGTATCCGTCAGTCTTCGGCTCTTGACGCCCAATTCGGGGCCTCTCGAGGCCGTCCTGGAGGCCCTTTAGACCCTCCTGCCTGTCTGGTGGCGTCAGCATGGGAATCCTGGGGCAGCCGAGAGTGGGCAGGATGCTGAGGCCTTTCCCCCCTGGGTGACGCCGCGGGACCCCTAGTAGACATTCGAAGGCGGTAGGGCAGGAGGGACAAAGGACAGAGAAGAAGAGACGGCACGAGAAAGAGAGAGTGTGAGAGAGAGCAAAACAAAAAGAGCGTGAGGCAGAAATTCAAAAAACACGACACACCAGCGATTGGTCGAGCAGGGTACTCCTACCCTGGCGTCCACAGGGGGGCTTGCAGATTTGGGCACAGGCGTCTGGGCCTTTTTGAAGATTGCCCTGGCGCTACGGGAGCGGAAGGATAGGAGGAGGACGAAGAGAAGCACGATGGAGGGAGAGGATACGAGGAGGAGAGGCAGGAGGGTGGCGCGAGGCGGGAGTAGGAGGATGATGAGCAGGGCGAAGGACGGAGGAGCAGGAAGAGAAGGGCAGGTAAGGTGGAGGAGGGGAGAGGACGAGAAATGAGGAATGATGGGGGAGTTGTAAAAGGAGGGGGGGTGAAAGGAGTAGGCCGAACCTAGGAGTGAGGAAACAGTAGGAGGCATGATGCACAAGGGAGCGCGGAGGAAAAGGAATGGAAGGGAGGGACAAGAGATGTCTGCTCTCTTCGTCCATGTCTTCCTTCCTCCGATCACCCAACCTTCTCCTCCGAACCCCATCCTGTCCCCTCCCAGTCCAGTCCTGACCCTCGATATCCTCACCCATGGCCACGCCTCCTCCTCCCCCCATCTCCTCCCGCACTCCCTCATCTCCATCTTTCTCTCCTGTCGCTGTTGCTGACGTCTTCGGAGTTCGGTTCGGACGCAAACATGCTTCTCTTCCTCATCCGCTTTTCCCTCCTCCTCCTCCTCCTTCAGTCCTGTTACTGATCAGTAAACTTCTCCCTGTCACACCCGAGGCCAGTTTGTAGTTTGTACCGCGCCATGTATGACCCTGGAATTTATGCATTAGCAATCGTTTCACAGATGGAAGGTCCGTCGTTTTCGAAATGTGGCTCTCGCCTTAGAGCAGCACACATTCGCTCCGAGACTTTGCAAGAGCTTCGCGGATTGAGGGCGGGTCGTTTTCAAATTGTGGCTCTCGGCGTAGCGCCGCGTACACAATTTGTGTTAACAAGTTGCAAGAATTTCACGGATTGATGGCGGCTCTGTTTCAAATTGTGGTTCTCGTTTTCGCGTCGCGCACATCCTTTTTACACGTTGCGAGAGATTCACGGAGTCCCATGATCAGCGTACCAGACATTGTGTTTTGGAAGGGTTCAGGATAATGAGGGTGTAACAATTACGGTGTTGAAGTCCCAGGAAGGGCGTTCTGGCACGATTCAGGATCGTCTAGACGCAACTGTCAGGTTGATCCGTGGCTCTGGGATCCCGAGAACAGTGTTCTGGCATGCTTCAGGGTTTTCGAACGGTTGTCTTCCAACGAGGCAGTTCCCCCCAGTGAAAATGAAGCGTTGTAGGGGTAGATGAAGAGTGAGTTTGAAGGGAGGGTTCATCACAGCATCGTTGATGACTCTTGGGTTAACACTGGTCCTCCTCCTCCGCCTCCGCGCTCTCCCTCTCTCTCTGTCTCTCTGGATTCCTCCATCATCCCTTCTCCCTCCTTGTTCCTCAGACGAGCACACAGCTCGTGGCATCGGCCTTCTCCCTCCTCCTCCCCCCTTCTCCCTCCTTCCGGCCCCATCCCAGCCCCAGCCCAGAACCCCCTCCCCCCGGAAGGAGCCCTCTCGAGGCGCGCTGTGCTGCCCTTCGGGCGCCGGCGCGGGGGCGGCGCCCCTCCCCCCTCCAGTCTTCCGGGACCTGCTCCGCGCCATCTCCTCCGAGTCCGAGGCGCGGGCGTTGCGCCTACGCCGCCCTTCCCGAGGAGGAGGAGGAGGTGGAGGAGGAGGAGGTGGAGGAGGGAGAAGAGCACCAGGGCCAAAGATGAGGAGCAGAAGGAGCAGGAGGAGGAGGAACTTATGCATTCTTTTGGATTGTACTGCCTTGCGCTGCGTGGCATTGCATATCTGCCACAGCACGGTATTGTCCTGCAGTCTCTGCATTGCACGACATTGCGAGTTGCTCCTCCCCCCTCCTCCTGTCCCTCCCTCTTGCTTCCCCTTTCTCCTGCTTCTGCTCTTGCTCCTCCCCCCGTTCCCCCTAGATTCCTCTTACTACTGCGGCTGCTCTCCTCCCTCCCCTTCCGTTCCTCCCCCTCGTTATTCCTCCTATCCTACTCCTCCTCCTCCGTCTGCCCCTCATCTCCCTCGTCGTCATCCCCCTTTCGCTGATGAGGCTGCTCGACGGTGCCTCTTCGGACACAAGGCTGCCTTCTGGTGTGGTTTTCCGGTTTTGCCTGTTCTGTGGCCCTGTTGTGTTACTGCTATGTTATCGTCATGAGATTGGCACGCTAGTGCCATACAATGGCCATGCCTGCGCAATATTATCGCGACGCTTCGCGTATCCTCACCAGATCAGATTCGCACCGTGCCGCATCCCGGACGCCGCTTCCGCTCCTTGACCGTTGCCTGGGAGCCGCCGACCAAAAAAAGTATCCCCACAAGCCAATTCAGCAACGTTGCTCAGAGGAGTTGTCCTGATCAGATACGTGGGGGGAGGGGGCATACAGAACAACCAATGGCTCGGGAAGCCTTCATACCCCAACAGGGGGAACATGGACGAGGACACGGAGGAGGGGGCTTTCTGGGTGCCTCCTCGGGCCCTGTTGGGGCATTCTTGAGAGCCTTAGGGACCCTCGGGGAGGCTCCAGAGGGGGGTGGGTGGGGTGGCAGAATTGGGGTGTATTGGGGGGGAAGGAGGGGGGGTGGATGGGGAGGGTGGAGGGGGCGCGGAGAAGGGGGGGGGTTTGGGGGGGGCGGGCCATGCAGTTGCCATGCAGTTGCCATGCTATTGTCATGCAGTCGCCATGCAGTTGCCATGCCATTGCCATGCAGTTGCCATGCTGTTGCCATGCCGTTTCCATGCTTTTGCAATGCGATTGTCATGTTATTGCCATGCTTCTGCCATGCAGTTGCCATAACACACTGCTAGGGATACATGCAGAAGACGAGGCCGCGAGCCTCTGGGAACCTCCGCAGGTAGACATCGTTCAATCTAGAATGCTCTGGCGCGGCGTCAGGGACCAGGGTCCACTCTGTCATAGCAGGAAATTGCTGTAAGTATGGGGTTGGGGTGAGGAACGAAAGTGGCACGGATGAGGGATGCAGCAGTGTCTGTATCCATGATGGCTCAAGTCGGCCTAGCGCCGTAAGTGTGTCCAAGCCGATGGTGGTCAACATTGAGCGCCGTAAGATTGTCCAGCAGCTTCGCCGTTTCGCTCGCGAATATGGCGTCGATCAGGTGCTTGAAACGGCTGGGAACGCACAGGTGAAAACGATGGTGCAAGCTACACGCGAGGCCTCCGTTTTAACCGAGGATGCCCGGAGAAGTGGTACAGACCTGTTGGAAACATTCTCTATGTGGGCCAACGTTGCCGAGGCGGGCCCCGCTGGCGTGGCCCCCGCCCCACGGGCGAACGCTTCCAAAGAATGGAAATTCCATGCGGCACAGCTGACATATAATACCACAACGGGAGAATGGCGTCAAAAGACAAAGGAATGCTGCATCGGTTGTTTCTCCGCCTCTGTGCTTTCGCGTGCCAGTTCGGAAAAGGTATTGAGTGCGGACTACATGTCCACAGCCATGGACGAGTCAAAAAAGGACCACGTTCACATTCATGTGTATTTCAACACCGGCCAGGTTTTCCACCACAAGGGTCGCACCGCACTGGGCGTGATAGTTTTCGAGACTAATCACCCGCAACTTGTACCTAACCGATCAAGTGGTGGTTCGTGCGCCGGAGCTGTGCGACGCGGTCATCTTTATGTCGTCGTTGGTAAAATTGGTTCGCTGCACGCAGAAACATACTATAAGCTACTCAAGGAATACCTTGTAGAGGGTTGGTGGATCGACAACCTTCTAAAGCAGCAGAAACTAACGCACGATGTGCATCTCGATTGCGCTGCCCAGGTGGGAATCGACTTCCACGGCGCCCAGGCGATGTGAGGTCTTTTCAGCGTTGCCAGAAACTGCGCGCTATGGGGCAGGCGGTTCAAGCCGAGACGGCGGCCCGTGCCGGTCAGACCCTGCCCATGAAGCACGTCTCAGAAGTGGAGGAGTTATTTGCGATGTTCAACAGACCTTGTCACCGCCGCCCCGTGGTGGCGATCGGTGGCGGCACCGACCTCGGAACAAAAAAACATGTTGGCCGCAGACGTGCTCCGCCGCCTGGCTCAAATTGTCGGTCCCTCGGAGTTTCCGGAAGCAGCAATTCAGCGACATCCGTTCATTGATCTGGCAGGTTTTGAATGAGATCGGCACTCGGGGTTGCTCCTTGGCGGCGTCGGGGGCGCTTTTTATTTCGAAGGGGACCCGAGAAGCATTGCAGGGCAGGCCCAAATTTCGCAAGGGCGGACAATCTGCAGCCGACGTATACAGTTACCAGCGCGCGCTCGTCAGGCGTGGCATCGTGGCGACACTCGACCCGTCCGCCTTTCATTACGAGGCATTCGAAACATATCATTGGCTGAGCAACAGGAAAAACGCCATTCAGTTCCATTTGACAGAGCAGGCCTGGGTGGATCCCCTCGCCGCGCCGCGAGGTTCCAGGCCCGGGCGGATCGCGCCGGGGATGGGGCTCCTGGGAATGTGTGACCCGTTGAGACGGGCGGAACGCGCTGGGGGTTGCGGCCCCGTGAACAAGCGCGACCCGTTGCGACGATCGGGGGGCGTTGGGGCTGGGGCCCTGTGGTCATTTATGACCCGCCGCGAAGGGCGCAGCGCGCTGGGGCTCGGGCCCGCCGGGCGCGCGTGTCCCGCCGTGACGGGGGGAACGATTTGGCCGTGGGCATGCGTGCCCCTTTGCGACGGGCGGGATGCGCCAGAGCTAACGTTCCGCGGGCATGTGCGACCCGTTGTGACGGGCGGATCGCGCTCGGGACGGGGCCCCGTGGGCATCTGTGACCCGTTGTAACGGTGAGAATGCGCTGGGGGCTGCGGCCCTGCGAGCGCGCGCGATCCCTTGTGACGAGCGCGGGGCGCTGGGGCGGGGGCCCCTGTGGTCATTTATGACCCGCCGCGGAGGGCGAGCGCGCTGGGGCTCGGGCCCGCTGGGCGCTCGTGGCCCGCCGTGACTGGGGGAACGATCTGGGGCTGGGGCCCCGTGGGCAGGGCCAACGCCCCGCGGGCATGCGCGACCCGCTGCGACGGGCGGATCGCGCTGGGGACGGGGCGCCTTGGGCATCAGTGACCCGTTGTGACGGACGGAACGCGCTGGGGCTGGGGCCCCATGAACTTGTGTGACCCGCCGTTGCGAGCGGGGGGCGCTGGGGTTGGGGCGCCGCGGGCATTTGCGACCTCTGTGACGGGCGGAGCGCGCTGGGGCTCGGGCCCCGCGCGCACGCGTCACCCGTCGGCGACGGGCAGGGCGATCTGGGGGCCGCGGCCCCGCGGGCATTTTTTTCCCCCGGCGACGGGAGGGATGTGCCGGGACTGAGATTTCGCGGGCATTTGTGACCCGATGTGACGGGCGGATCACGCTGGGACTGGGGCCCTCTGGGCATTTGCGACCCGATGAGACGGGCGGAACGCGCCAGGGTCGCGGCCCTGCGGGCGCTTTTGGCCCGCTGTAACCAGAGGGAGGCACTGGGGCCAGGGCCCTGCGGGCATTTGTGACCCGTTGTGACGGGCGGAAAGCCGCGCGGACATTGCAACCCGCTCTGAGGGGCGGAGCGAGCTGGGGTTGGGGCCCAATGAGCATCTGTGACCCGCTGTGGCCCGAGGGGGGGGCCTGGGGCTAAGGCCCCGCGTGCACGCGTGACCCGTAGTGACGGGCGGAGCACCCTGGCTTTGGGAACTTGGCGGCATGTGTGACCCAGTGTGACGGGCGCAAAGCGCTGGGCCTGGAACTCCGTGAGCGTGTGTGCCCCGTTGTGACAGGAGGGATCACGCTGGTGGCTGGGGCCCGGGCGGCATTTGTGACCCAGTGTGACAAGCGGAACGCGCTGGGGCTGCGGCCCCGTGGGCGTGTGCGACCCATTGTGACGGGCGGAGCGCGCTGGGGCTGGCGCCTTGGTGGCATTCCAGACCCGTTGTGACGGGCGGAACGCGCTGGGGATGGGTCCCCGCTGGCATTTGCGACCCGTTGTGACAGGCGGAGCGATTTGGGGCTGGGGACCGTGGGCAGATGCGACCCGCTGCGACGGGAGAGGCGCGCCGGGGCCAAGGTCCCGCGGGCATGCGTGCCCTGTTGAAACGGGCGGAGCGCGCTGGGGCTGGGGCCCCGCTGGCACTTGTCCATCGTTGTAACGTTCGAAACGCGCTGGAGCTGGGGCCCCGTGGACACTTGTGATGCTGAGTGGCGGGCGGAAGGTGCTGGGGTTGGGGCCGCATTGATATTTGTGACGCTCTGTGACGGGAGGGGCGCGCTGTGGTTGGGTTTTTTTGGGGCACGTTGTGACCCGTTGTGATTGGTAATGGCCCGTTGTGACCGCCCTGCATGCGTCTCGGTGGTGTTCTTTGTAGCGGTTCGTGCAGATTTGTGACCGTGGGGTTTTTCACCCAGTACGGGTTTCAGAGTCACACAGCGGCTCGAGGCGTCAGGGGGCTTCTGCTCCGCACGCGGCCCATAGAATTGTAGCAAAGTTGTTGGTCCACGTCCCCCCCCCGTTTCCTCTCCCTCCTCTCCCCCCGTTTTCCCTCCTCTACTCTTCTCTTCCCCCCGAACACCCCTAGGTCGTTCGATTTCGTTGTTATCCTCCTCCTCCTTCTCCTCCTCCTCCTCCTCCATGTGTTATAATTTGTCCGCCTCTTTCTCCTTTCTCCTTCTCCCTCCTTCCCCTCTTGGGCACGAAGGTCCGAGTCGACGCCCGATTCGGTGAGATGACAAAGAATCAGCGCAATGGGAAAGGATAGGAAGGCGGGGTAGAGATGTGGCGCGAGCGCGCCTAGCTTATCCTCTCCCCGCCTCTACCTCCTCCCTCATTCCTTCCTTTTCCCACTTCCACCTTCTTTTTGCCCCTCCTATCTCGTCCCTCCTCCCTCCTCTCCCTCCTCCGTTTTCCCTCCTATCCCTCCTCCCTCCCCCCTCATCTCTCATCTCTCCTCCCTCCCTCCCTCCCCTCTCTCCCCCCTTCTACCTCCCCGCTCCTCCCTCATCCCTTATCCCCCCTCCTCCCTCTTTCCTCGGGGAGGTGATCGGGTTGGGGGGTGGTGGAACAGGTTCAGAACGGAGGGGACGAGGGCAGGGGAGGAGAGGTGAGTGAGGATAGGAGGATAGTTGTAGAATGACGGGATCTTTGCAGGGGAGCGGGGAAGGGAGGGTAGGGGAGGTGGGCGAGAGAGCAGAGAAAGGACTCAGATGTGAAAGGGAGGAGGGGAGGAGGAGGTGAAGGGAGGAGGAGTGGGGAGGGGAGGATGACTACCGGAGGAGAGGAGGGGAAAGGGTATGGGAGGTGAGGGGAGGAGGATTGGGAAATGTAAGCATTGATTCGGAGGTGTAGGGAGGAGAGGAGGACAGGGGAGGTGAGGGCAGGAGGGGGTCGGGGAGGGGAAGACGGTTTCGGAGAGGGAGGGGAGGCGGCGAGTGGAGGGCAGGTGAGGGGGGGGTTGGCGAGGGGATAAGGGCTTCGGAGGGCGGGGGAAGGGCGGAAGGGAGGAGAGGAGGAGAGGAGAGCCGAGGAGGAATCGAGGGCCCCGCGGGGCAAGAGAGGAGGGAAGGGATTTTGCGAGGCAGGCCTCGGGCCCGGACGCCCGCGGCAGCGTGCCAGCCCTGGGGGGGGGGACAGGCCACGACCGAAATCTCTATGTACCCCCCATTGCATCCCTTGACATACGTTCCCATTCTCTGTGCACGCCAAACCTCTCTCTCTATATATATGTGTATATATATATATATACTCGTGTTGTTCTCTCATTCAGCGTCACGCTTCACCATCCTGTGCGTCAACGTACGGCAGCACGCTCTACCCAGGCTGCGACATCTACCTCGCACGCCCACGCGACGGCACCACTCACGCGGCCAGTTTGCCCCCGACTGTTGCAGTCGCAAGCAGTAGCACCACGGCGTCGACCTCTCTCGACCCTGCCTGGCACCGCAAGGAGAGAGAACAACGAGCAGCTGCACGCACACTGCTCAGAGTAGCATCTGCAATGTCACTACTCGACCAACCGACTCACCGACAACTCCAAGCAGCACATCTCTTACCCAAGCAACATCAGAGCGCACGACAACCACCACGACAGACGACCGACACAATGCACGGCCACACATAAACACCCCGAGCCAAAGGCAAAGGCAAGGGGAAGGAAGCACCAGCAGCAACAACCCTACGGCAAAGAAAGGGATTATCCTGGTAGCCAGTGGGTCACAGCGGATATGTCAATCCAGCACAACGGTCTCCGACCTACTACCCAGCACAACCACCCTACCAGCAGCAACCAGGAGACACCTACTGCCATACAGCGCCAGCAACACCCTACCGGACGCAACACCCACACTCCCAGCCAGCAACGGGCGACCACACCCAGACAGATCAGATCGAGTCTTGGCTGTTTCTGTGGGGCTGAGCTCTTGGCAGGGCCAGCGCAGTGACGTCCTACGCACATCAAGTCGATACCTCGCCGTCTCTGGGAGATTGCGACCCGCGAAGGTTTCGCCACTTTCGTGAGCTCCTGGGAAGGCAAGGCCAGCGCAGTGACGTCTCACGCGGATCAGGTCGAGACCTCGCCGTCCCTGGGGGTCTTCGGTCTGCGACATTGTCTCCACCTCCGTGTGGTCTTGGGAAGGCCAGCGCAGTGGCGATTTACGCGCACCAGTTCCAGGCTTCACCGCTCTTGGGGGTTTAGGAGTATGCTATGCGAAGCCGTCACAACTTTCGTGAGCTCCTGGGAGGGCTAGCTCCTATCTTGCCGCTTCCAGTTTGGATAGCAAGAGTCTCTGTGTGAACGGGGGGCGTTGATCGTGGCCAGGGTTTTTTTTACGAAAGGTCCAAAGGGGGACAGCTGGCAACGCGGTCTTGGTTATAGTCGTCTTCTGTCTAGAATTGGTAGGTTACGTCCTTGGACTTTTTTTTCTTGTGCCGCCCAATGCCTGCTGCACGGGCCATGGCGCAATTGCAATCACTGGTTGTGCAAGCGCGATTTGGCCGCAGTTTGCACGCAAGGGAGGAGGAGGCGGCAGCGGCTGGTCCTTCTTGTCCCTCCTCCTGGCTCCTGGCTCTTATTTTCAGGCGGCACCCAATGAGGGCGAGGTCTCGTGGTTTGAATCCGTTCAGTGCGCCACTACGCTGGACACCCCCAGGGGCACTGCAGAGCGGCTACAGTTGCACTCTCCGTGGCACCCAGGGAGGGCGAAGTATAGGTCGGGTTTGCTTGCGACGCCACTGCGCTGAACCCCCTGTGTGGGGGCAGCGGAGCGACAGGTGCATGCCTGGCCCTACCCAGGGAGTGTATTCTGGATGGGATCCGCTGGGGGGTTTGGGCACGTCCTGTCGGAATGGGTGGAGGAGGGGATGGAGGAAGAGGAGGAGGACGAGGAGAGGGAGGAGGATGGAGGGGGGCGGGATTGGGCAGGCTCAATCAGAAGGTTAATCACCCCCCCTTGACACAAGAGAACAACAACAAAAGAACATCCAGAGTAAGGTCCCGCTGAGAATTGCGTATGATACCATGTGGTTGGAACCGTGGGAGCGCCGTTAAGCGGCGACAGTTACACGCATGGCATCACTCTTTTGAGAGTGTGAGGTAGAGTTTGGGTTCGCGTAGGACCTGGTATCGCTGGACCCTGCATGGTCCATGGGTGCAGCAACTAAGCGGTGGTCGCAGGTTTGGCAATACCCAGGGAAGGCGAAATAGAAGAGAAAGCGGGAGTGGAGGATGAAGCGACGACAAAGGATGCATCGGACGTGAAGGAGGACGATAGTGGAGGAGAAGAGGAAGGGGCGGCGGTGGGAAAAGGATAGGAGCCACACGTGTTCTTCGGGGGCGGGAGGTAGGAGAATGATAGGAACAAGTCGTGCTCATTTCAAAGCTAGGGTCTGGAACCAGTCCGCGGGAGGTCTGAGCTGGAGGATGTGTGCAAGGGAGGAGGAGGAGGAGGAGGAGAAGGAGGCCGCCCGCGCACAGTCATTCCGTCATCCTGGCTGGACCGGCAGCGTTCTCCCGAGGACGAGAGAGAGAGAGAGAGGAACCCCGTGCCAGGATCTGGGCAGCACTCAAATGGCCGCAGGCTTCTGGTGGGGGGAGGAGGAGGATGAGGAGGGAACGATGTGCCATAGCGACGTTCGACGTTTTCGGCCCTCTCTGAGCCTTCGGAGGCCTAGGGGGGGATGACCAGTTGCTTGAAAGTGGGAGGAAGAGCGAAGCGATGAAAAGGAGGACGACTGGAGGGAGGGAGGGAGGGAGGGAGGAGAATGGGGGCAGGATCTGAAGACGAAGGCAAGGTTGAGTTCGATCGGTGGGTTATGGACAGTTGTTGGCATAAGACAGCATGCATGCCAGATAGCCCGATGCCTCAGGTGAACTTCCTCGTCAACGGCGTCATGACATTGATAGGTACCATCAGCGAGGAGCCGCGCAGACCTCACCCTCCCTTCCCCTGTCCTCCCCGTACTCCACTTCTCTCCCCTCTCTTCCCCATTTATCTTCCCACCTTCCCATCCACATCCATCTCCCCCTTCTCCCGTTCCCGCTGCAGTTGTCGTTGTACGCCGTTCTTCTTTATCCTTCTCTTCGTTATCTCTCCTGACCACTCCCTTTCGCTGTCCCTTCTCCCTCGTCATAGTCTACCTCCTGCCCATCTTCCTACACACCCTCCTTGTCCTCCAGCTCCTCTTCCCTTCTCTCTCCCTCCGCCTCCTCCTCCTCCTCTTCTCTGATCTTTTCCCATGTTCCACTCCTCTATGGTCCGCCCTCCTGCTCTCCTCACCTGCGCCACCTGGAAACATATCTCAGATATGCCTCCCCCTGCACATGTTGCTGTTTCTCCACCCTCCTCCTGCTCCTATGGTTGCTCCTCTTCCTCCTCCCCCTCCTGGGCCTCCTCCTCATGCCTCCTGCTCCTTCCAATGTGTGCGTCATCCTCCGCCCTCCCTTCCGCCCCTTCGCGGACGGATGGGAGAAGACGGGGCGCGCCCGAGCCCTCTGGTCAGGCCGATCGTCTGCACCTTCATCGTCGCCTCCTCCTTCCTCTTTCGGGGCCCTCAGGGGCCCTCCTCCTCCTCCTCCTCCTCCTCCTCCTCCTCCTCCTCCTCCTCTTCGTCCTCCTCCTCCTCCTCCTCCTCCTCCTCATTCTCCTCCTCCTCCTCCCCCTCCTCCTCCTCCTCACCCGCCGGGGGGCCATGACTACTCGCTGGGCATCGCTCGGACGTGCATTTCTCATCGACGAGGGTTATTGAGGAGCAGACTGGATCATCTTCTAAAATGAGCGCACGACATCGAAACATACACCGGAAATAAACGTCCGAGCGATGTCCTGCTCGCCGCCGAGGGTGCATGTCCTTTCAGGGCGGTGTCGGGATGCTCGCCCCAAAACCGCTATACCCAGCTACGTCCCTTGGCATCGCTCGGACGTGTGCTTTTTCTTTTCGGCGAGGACCATCGAGAAGCATTCATTCTGGACCATCTTGTGAAAAATACACGCACGAAGGCGACATGCACGGGGAATGGACGTCCGAGAGATGGCAAGCATCCTTCTTACTTTTTCTCTTCTTCCGCCCATGCGTCCCTCCTCCGCCCCTCTCCCGACCCCTCCTCGACCTCTTCCGCCTCCTGCTCTGCTTCCCCTTTTCATTTATGCATACATATTCCTCCTCGCACCGCTTGACGTGACGGTAAGACGATCCTGCCGTTCTGTTTGAGACCCTTCCACTCTTATTCCTTTCCTCCTCATACACCCTTCCCCGCCCACGTCCTCCCCCTCCTCCCCCTCCTCCTCCTCCTCATCCTCATCCTCCTCCTCCTCCTCTGCTACACTGCAGGCTCAGGGCATGGAGCCCTTGCCTTGGAGGGGCCCGCGGTGCGCCTCCTCGGCAAAGCAGCAGTTCGCAGCGCTTCCCTGGATCCAGTTGCTGCTCGGCTGTTCGCTTTTCGATCGCCCTCCTCTCGGGCCCTCGGGCCGGACGACACCTGCCGCATGCAGCTGTTTTCGGCCCCGCCGCCTGGCGCATCTCTCGGCAACAATCTACGGCAGATTCGCGCACGGCCCCAGACCCCCTCTTGACCGACTCGATCCTCCCCCGCTCCCTGGCAACCGGCGTTTTGATTTGTTCGATGCGCGGACACCTGGACCTCACTACCCTTTCATTGGGTCCGTTCTTGCCCCACCCGACAGGTTGGCGTTTTTAGGCTCAGGGGGGAAATCCGCCCGCCAGCCGCGGCCGCCAGTGCCCAAAGTCAGACACCAACCAACAATCATCAAGGACAGACAGCGATATCAGACGCCAAGGACAGACATGAGGGACGCGCAGCAATAACACGCATCAGTAATCTACACCAGAGAGGTACTTCAACAAATCTACGACCATCGCAGCGTACAGTGCACACCAAACACATACATCACGAACAGACATCACGAACATGATTCACATGCATATAACCAGGGCATTGAGGACAACATGCATCAACGGCGTACGCAAACACCATTGGTCATCAGCACACATGAGTTATGCCAATAGCATACGTAAAGGACGTGCGAAAACAGTGCATGTGGTCTATTCGCGCACCAAGGTCAGGCATACTGGCATACTTATACACATGCCCGTCGCTTACATCACGGTCAAGTTGTGGTCATGTAACAGCGGTGTCATACGTCAATAACGTGCGCGCGTAGCATACATCAAGATCAGGCAACACCACTCAGATACATGCCTAATATTTTACAACAGAAACATGCATGATCCATGTGGCTATCGCATTCAACGGATGCAGACACTAGTTGAATCGCTTCGCTCATTCTGTCTGCTGGCCCATACCGTTGCATCGCTGGTATTTGCCGCGTGTTCGTTGCCCCTGCGACGCTGCGGAGGCGGTGGTGGTGCTCCAGGGGGTGGAGGCGGAGTAGTTCTTGTATAGCTGCTCTTGGGTGGGTTGCTCGGGGGGTCGTCAGTGGTTCATGGCCCAGTCGCCTAGTCGCGGACTGTCGGGGAGGGTGGTGGGGGGAGCGGGGCGGTTACACATCTCACACGGTGTTCTACCTTCCGGGAGCGGAGGTCGGCGGGTCATGAACGTGATCAGACGAATACGTTTCGCCTTTCTCCGCTCCTTTCTCCCTCTTCCCAGCTTGTGGGTCTGGGTCTTGGTGGAGGTTTTCAGGAGTCTCCTCGGTGGGCTCTTGGGGTTCCCTGGGGAGCAGTTTGGGGTCCTCTTTCATCTTGAGGCCACTTAGGGGCCACTTGGTAATTTTGGGGTGCTCTCAGGGACCTCTTAGGGCCTCCTGGGCGCCACTTGGGGCCCAGGGCTGGAAATTTCCGTTCGGGATCCCCCTCTTGGCCCTCTCTTGAAGCCGTCCTTGTGCCCTTTTTGGGCCGTTTTGGATGCCTCTTGGGTCGTTTTGGAACCCTCTTGGGCTGTCTTCAGGCCTTATTGAAGGCATCTGGAGCCGTCTTGTGGCGATTTTGGGGGTCTCTTAGGCCGTCTTGGAGCGTCGGGAAGTCGAAATGGCGAGAACGCCAACATCTTTCAGAAGCCGAAGCAAACTTCACGATGTTTGCCTCTTGGGGCGCTCGTTGGGGGTGCTCTGGGAGGCCTATGCTGGCATCTTGGAGGCCTCTTGGGCTGTCTGGGGGCCCTCCCTTTCTTCTTGCAGCGCTCTTGTGACGTCTCGGAGCACTCTTGGTGGCCTCTTCGCCCTTCTTGGTGGCCTCTTCGCCCTTCTTCTTCTTCGCACTCTTGTGACCTCTCGGGGGCCTCTTGGTACCCGCTTCGCCTCTGAGAGCTCTCCGGGGCGGGGCCACGAGGGCAGCGCCCAGGGACAGCACCATCTCTGACGGGACCTTGCCAGGGATTGGCCGGGGTATTTTTCGCACGGCGACCTCCAGGGTCAGCACGCGCGCGCGAACCAGAAATATGTTACATTTGTTACCGAAGATCTTAGCACGCCTCTGGCCCGTTCGGCCGGCGAATTACACATTGTACGACAGGGGTAAATACCTACGAAGCACCATTCATAGTGGCAACCACCGCACGCGACCAGGTATGTAATATAGAGCTCTGCAGGGTCAAACGCTCCAGTCTTCGAAACCGTTCGCAGCAGCTACCGATGTGTGCGGAGTCGTTTGTGGACCGTCTTGCGGCCTGAGACTTGCCTCAAAGGGCCAAAGCAGACGTAGGAACACATCCAGCCGCTTTGATGACGACGGACGACGACGACGACGACGACGACGACGACGACGACGACGACGACGACGACGACGACGACGACGACGGCGGCGGCGGCGAAAACGACGACGACCACGACCACGACCACACGGTTGTAGGGCAGAGTGGCCGCGCAGGAGCGGAGCACCTACCTGCCCAGTTCGATGCGCTTGCCGCCCTTCCTGCCCGAGGTAGGGTAGGGTGGGCGGGTAGCGGTCGGGTACGGCCTCTAGCAGATTTCAGCGGGCCACGGCTGAGGAGGAGTAAGGGGAGGAGAGGGATGAGGAGGAGGAAGAGGCAGAAGAGGGAGGAGGAGGAGGAGGTGGAGGAGGAGGAGGAGGAGGAGAAGAAGTGTAGGGCCGAAGATGGGGAGAAGGAGGAGGAGAAGGAAGGAGAGGGAGCGCGAGCACATGAGAATACGTGTCGAGTCAGGACGAAGGGAGGAGAGGGGGGAGAAGGTAGGAGGAGGAAGAGGCGACAGGAGGACGAGAAGGGAGGCGGGGTGGCAGGAGGGCGGGGGGAGAGAGAGGGGAGGGGAGGAAGGGGGGCGAGGAGAATGAGGCGGGAGACATGGCAAGGAGGAGGAGGAGGAGGAGGAGGAGAAGGAGAAGGAGAAGGAGAAGAAGGAGGAGGAGGAGGGAGCAAAGATCGAGCTAGCCAATTTGAATCAGTCAACGGGCGCCCGCCCGTGCCCGCCCTCCCTCCCATAGCATCAGAGTCAAATGTGGGACTACTTTGACACACCTAGCGAACGGAAATCGCGCGCGCTGTCCCGGTCCGAGCGGAAGGCGTTTTGCGCACGGGCCGGAGCCGAGCCTCACAATCTATTTGCGCGGCGTGTCGGCGAGAGCACAATTTGGCCTAAAACAGGGCTAGGATCGGGATAAATCGATCCAGAGCGTTCCGGAGCGCTCTCAGAGCGTTCTGGAACGCTCTGGAGCGGCCGCGGCGCCCAATACATCCTCCAAACCCGCCGATTCTCAGAGATTTCGAGTTATCCCGATCCGATTTTGTCCCGATCTTCGCGTCGTTTTATAGCCCTCCTGGGCGGCCAAATGTCCGATGAGCATGGCGAAGGCGAAGCGTGCGCAGCGCCCACACGGGCACGCCAATTCCAGGCGACGTCTGTACGGAGCGTGGGCGAGGGCGACCCGTCGCCCGGCTTTTGCGCGCCCCCCGCCCCCTATCGACCTGGTGGGAGCGCCACTTCCAGGCGAACTCTGCGCGGCGCCGAGGCGAGGCCGCAATTCTCGTCCAGGCGCGCGCGACCCCCGCTGTCGCCAAGCCAGCGAGCTAGCCATGTGCGCCGCGCTTTTCAGCGGGGTGCCAACTCTCAGGAAGAATGGAGCGCGGCGTGGGGGCGAGGGCGGCACTCCGCCCCTGTCGAACGTGATGAAGCGGCCCGTTCCAAGGTTGGTGTCGTCGACGCCCAAGCGTCCAGACTGACAGGAACGGCGACGACCTTGCATTTTGTGTTTTACCTTCGTAGGGTGGGCCGTCCCAGATTGAGCGGTCATCGGCCAGCCCAGTGGCAATGGAGTGGATGCGACTATGGAAGAGGGATGAGTTATGAGGACACTGGGTACATACACAGAGAGGAAGTGGAACAAGTGGCAATTGAGTGCGTGCAGACACAGAGTGATGAGGATGGCCACCGGCATGACGCTACGCAGGTATGCGGCAGACTGGTGGCAAGCTGCAGTCCCAAGGACCGATCTGCAGAAGACGCCTTCACGCCTGAATGTTTATGTAAATTATTTAGAGCTGTCGCAGCCGCCGCCCCTGATGTTCCACCGAGCAGCCGCCAGTGATTTCAGTGGAGCGAGGGGCCAATCTCTGATACCATCGTCTGGGTCAAAAAAGGGGGATGGGCTTTCAGGAACCCGTCCGTCATCGTAAGTCGGCTTGGCATTGAGTTAGAATTGGATGTGATTCCTCTTGCGTGCATTGCCACGAGACTTGTGTCGCAATTTAAAGACGCACGCATCCAAGCGGCAACTAGGAAAGTGTTGGAGCGCCATCCGTGTTCCGAAGCCAGCCTTGCAGGAGGGAGTTCTCTGGTGGGACATCTCGGCTCGGTTCTTTCGCTCGGCACAGAACCTGCCTGCTCGTGCTGCATCGGCCCTGAAGGAGGCCATGGCGGGAGCTGTCCCCACTGCGGAGAACCTCAGGAAGTGGGGCTATTCAGTTTGTGGCAGGCTTGACACGACCTTACATATGGTGCTGTGAATGCATGCGCGGAGCTCCGACAAAGGATGGGTTTTGTACGCCCGAGATGTTGCAGGATGCGACGGCTGCGGGTCCCCAGAGTTTTACTGTCACCAGAGCCTGGCTGCCAAAATTTGATGGTCCTGAGCCAGCCCAAGTTTGGGAGCCGAATTACGGTAGGTTCGTGTCGTGTCGACCGGCGGCGACCCCGCCAGCGGCGTTCAACTTTGAACGCCGGCGGCGGCCCAGAATCGATCGATGTTGAACGATTGGACGTTGCGGAAACGGCCGATCGTTCAAGGTTGAACGATCCCCGAGGTGACAGAAACCATCGCTGGGGTCGGCACGACACGAACCTACCGTACAGATATTCGAATTGTGTGACTCCAGATGCCTCTCCTCCTCCTCCTCCTCCTCCTCCTCCTCCTCCTCCTCCTCCTCCTCCTCCTCCTCCTCCTCCTCCTCCTCCAGCTCCAGCTCTTACCCTTCAGATCTTGGCTTTGTACTCCCAGAGCACCGCCTCTCTGACCCCGGCGTCTCTCCGACGCTCCGGCCCCTGCCTCTCCGACCCCGGCGCTCTCTGCATCCAGCCCGGATCTAACATGTTTTTTTTTTTTTCGTCCGACTCCGGTGCCTCCGCGATTCGTACCCCTATCTCTCCGACTCCTGATCCAACCTCACCACCTCCAGCTCGCAGTTGTCCGACTCCATCTCCGACTTATCGGTGTCGCCTCTCCGACTCCGGCTCCTACAGCTCCGACCGCTGCGCTCTCCAGGTCCATTCCCAGAGAGCACATTCTCTTTTGTCCGACTCCGGCGTCCGGCGCATCTCCGACTCATACTCTCCTACTCCGGCTCCGACTCTAGCTTCGATCTCTTATCGTGTCCAGCTCGTATCTTTCCGACTCTAACTCGTGTCTTTTCGACTCTAGTTTCGATTCGCCATTGTCGTCTTTCCGATTCTGGTTCCTACCTCCTCGACCCCTGCGTTCTCTCCGACTCCGGCTCTGACACTCGATCTCATTCTTCTGACCCCGGCTGCTCAAAGTCCCAACTCCAGAGTCTGAGAGGCCAACATAGACGCCCCAGCGCCAATCCGCTGCTCCCGCTTAGGTGCCTTCTGCGGGACTGTCTGTCAATCGAATGGCGTGTGCGAGTGTTTGGAGTTCTCCAGAGGGGCAAGTTTGTACTCGGACGGCGATTGTATTCGACCAGCCCTTGGCGAGTTAGTGCGAGCTGGCTTCGGGGTGTGTGAATTAGATGCCGAGGGGACTTTGCATCGGGAAATTGTTGGAGCCGTTCCCGAACTTGTTGGACAGAGCTCTGGGATGGGGGAGCATGCGGCCCTTATGGCCTTATTGCCAGGGCTATCCACGCAGATGGGGCCGTCCCCAGTAGCCTTACGGATGACCCTACCAAAGTTTGTTGAGGGCAGGTTTTTCATATTTCCTAAGTTGCTCTTTCTCAGAATTCGGTTATGTCTCATTTCTTTCGCCAATTTGGTGTCGACATCCCTGAGGATTGGTTGACGGAGGGCCAATCAGAGAGCCTTGAAGACCTACAGACCACCCGAGGCAATAAGTGTGCTGACTGGCTAGCGGGGCAAGGGGCATTACTGCATGAGGTCCCCCCTGTGATGGCTGACGAAAACACACTCGTTTCTCACTAGTACAAACACTGTAATTCCATGGCGTTGACCATTGCTGAGTGGCCCACTCCAGGAGAGATCTTCGGGGAGCTCAACAAGGGGAGTTTGGGCACTAGGGGCGTGCGAGGACCGAACGACCCACTTACCTGGACGGCCCACCGTGGATGCCCAGTTCTGCTTTGCGTTGGTTTGCTGTGCTTTTGCCACTCAGAAGGCGCTCCGCCTCGCCCCAGGTTGCCAGCCGAGTCTTACAGTGGAGACCCATGCCAAGACACATCTTGCTTGCCTCCAGGGTGCCCTGGGTTTCTTGGGTGTCGATGGTTTTGCGATGGAAAGCGTGACGTTCCCACACCAAAAATATATGGACACCCTGTGGTCTCAGGGTTGGGTTTTTTGTGGATGGTTTATTGTGGTGGTCGGGCCCCTACTCTAAGTCCAAGGAGCTTCGCCAGCTCCTGTCATAATGCCTCCCCGTGAAGGGTTCAGGCTCGGACCAGCTCAGCCTCTCGCCAGGGCACCGTTCATATATATAGAGAGAGAGAGAGAGTGAGAGGGAGATGTATAGAGAGAGCGTGTTGAGGCTCATTGGCAAGGACACCAGGAAGGCGGGGGCTTAGCGCCCCCTTTTTCAAACATGTTTTTTCATAATGGAGTTGGCTTCTTCAAGATTGCCCAGATTGCCTTCGAGGAAACGGGGCAGGAGGATTTAAGAGGACGAGGATGGGAGGTTGAGGAAGAGGAGGCGGTGTAGGACTATATGGCGAATGAGGAGGGGGCGGGAATAGTTGGAGGGTAGAGGGTTAAAGCTGGCTGCTCCCATCATGTTCAACGCGGACTTCTTTCCCGTTCGACTCCTCTTCCTGCTCCCTCACCCTCCCTCCTCCGTATCATGTTGTTTCCCTCTTGCGATCCTCATTGTTCTCCCGCTCCTCGTCTTCCCGGGCCCACCAATTGTCCCGCCTCTCCTGCTTGTCATCCTCTTCAATTGTGCCTTGCTCGTCCCCGTTCTCGTTTGGTGGTGCACGCTTTCATTTTGGGCGTTCGAATGGGCTATTATACACATCTTGGGCAACCATGGGATGCTCGTCAGCCGCGCAAAGCAACGACTACTACTGATACTGGCTGCTGATACGGCTACTGCTACGACTCTCCCTCATCCCAGCCTTGTCCCTCGCAATGCCAACCGCCGCCTTCTCGCATTCCCGTCCCATCCACCCGAGCTCAGTGATTGAAGACGTGGTATGCGGGTGGGGAGAGGTGATGCTGATCGTCTTCCACCTTGCCACTTGCGAGGCCATGTTCTTATTCGGGGTTCTGAGTTTAGCTGTGCGGGCGAGGAAAAGGGAGGAGTCGGGGTGGTCGAAACGGAAGATAATAACGATGAGGGTCAGATCAGGAGAGCGAGACTGAACAACAGGATGCGGAAAGTAGCGGATGCAGCAGGAGGGGGGGAACATTGTAGCAGCAAGTGCAGGGGCCGCATAAGGACTACCTCGAGCAGGCGGAGGAGTTGAACGAGGAGGAGGAGGTGGAGGAGGAGGAGAGCGATGCGGAGGCGGACGAGGACGAGGGCCGCGACCCGCGGATTGGAGCCGGCCTCGCACTTGCAGGTTTCAGGGGGCAAGACGAGCACATAGATCAGCGAACAGCGCAGGTATCGCAAATCTGCTTCTCATCGCAAGGGGGAGAAGGCCATTCGGGTGGCGAAGACCGGGAGAAGCCCTGGCAGCGACGGGGAATGGGGTGGCAACCCGTTGGTTCTTCGGTATCGGCTCTGGCCTTCCCCCCCCCCGCACCCCACTTGTGCTTGTACGCGCATACCGCCCACCGAGTGATGGTGCGGAACCTTGCATGAAATTAGCATGGTGCACCCCAGGGGGGCCCCCGCCGCGCGTTTCAAAGTGACCCGCGCTTGGCCCCCAGGACCGGGCTGCTCTTGGCATCGCTCGGACGTGTACGTTTGTTTCGGCGAGGACCATCGAGGAACATCTTTGATCATCGAGCGAAGCAGCACACGCGCGAAAGCGAACAATGCACGGGGAACGGTTGTCCGAACGATGGTGAGCTGCCGAGTTGTGGGAAGCGATGCCTCGCGCATGCCGCGCCCCAGTGGGCCCCGCCGCCGCGGCCCCGCCAGGCCTTCGTCGCCTGCGCCTGCGCGCAGGGCGAGGCCCCCGCCCTCGTGGAGGCGCGGCGCCGCTCTCTTTGGGGCGCCGCCGCCGCCTCGAGGGCCCCGGAGATCCGACGCCCCGAAACGAGGGAAGGGGCGGGTTTGGGGGTCGTCTTCGGCCTCCTGGGGCCCCTCTGCCGGGCCTCGGGAGCGTCAGCAGACGGCTCAGACCGAGAAGCTGGCCCCAGGGAAGTGGTCCAGGCCTCTGCGGCACGCGCACCTTAAACACATTGTGGCGGCCGGATGTCTGGGGCCACGGCTCGAGCTACGAGCTCCGATCCCTTCCGGGGAAGGGGGCCCAGTTGTCCAGTGCCTCGAGACGGTCGAGTTGGCCGTTGTGGCTCCTACAGGGTTCCGACATTTCAGAAAACGGCCCGGGGCGAAACATTGGCCATGAAGAAGGGGTCGGCATGCAAGGTTTTCTTTATGTGTTCGTGAAGTGGGAGGTCGTGGCCTCCGTGGAAGTTCCCATGGCCTCTCTGCAGATTTCCAGAGACCTCCTGCCTGAGACTTCCGCCGCCGTTGGTCGGTCGGATGGTCGTCTGGGTCTCGGGGTCGGGCTCGACGCCGTCGCCCTCGTCGTCGTCGTCGGTCGTCGTGCCCGCCGTCGTCGGATGAGATGTGGGAGCGGGAGGGGTGGAGGGGGAGGAGGAGCACAGCGCCAGAGGAGGAGAGAACGATGGGGGAGAGGAGGTCGGCCACGTCCCCGTGCTCGGCCGGGCACCTCTGGCCAGGAGCGGCGTCCGCCCAGAAGCTCCTGGAGGCCTCCTCGCGGGTCTGCCAGGGTGGCTCAAAACGCCCCAAGTCGGAGGTTGATAGACCTCCTACCCTGACACGTCGATTAGCGAATTGGCCGTTTTCGGTTCGCGAGAGGGCGTCGCGGCCGTCATTTCTGCAGGTCCAGGTACGTCCGTTTCGGTCCTAGGCCGGTTTCACTAAAGGGTGGTTTGTTTAAAGGAAGGTTTGTCCACCGCCGACCAAGATTTTGATCATCCATCTTCGACCTTTCTGCGAGGAGGCGACGTGGATGCGCTGGCCTCCTCAGGCAGGCCACCACTACCACGCACCTCGGGCGTCTGCTTTGCCGTCTGGGGGTCTTCGGCGATCGAGGCCGATGGCTCTGCTTCTTCCTGCTCCTCATCATCTGTTCTCTTCCTCCTCCTCCTCCTCCTCCTCCTCCTCCTCCTCCTCCCCCTCCTCCTCCTTCCTCTCCATCCGCCCCCCTGATCCTTTCTCCTCCTCCCCCTCCTCCTCCTCCTCCCCCCCCTCCTCCTTCCTCCTTCCTCCTCCCCCCTCCCCCTCCTCCTCTTCCTCCTGCATCTGCCCCGCTGGCAGGAGTCCGTGCGACAGCCTGCGGAAGGCGCCAATTTTTTTTCCACGTGCACCAACCGCTTTGGGGCGCAGGGCCAGTGCCTGCGCCCTCCTGGGTCGGCCAGGACTGGATATGCACCGCCCTCGGGCCCAGGATCGGGTGTACACCTTAGGCGATGCTTAAGAAAACTTGAGTTTTCGGCCAGAGTCTCGATTATTCTTAACGTTTCAATGTAAATCCTAAGGTTTTGATATGAATTTTGGGTTTTTATTCCAGTTCTGAGACTCTGAATTTCTTAACCCATGATTTCTTAAGCATTTCGCAGGGTGTAGAGGTGGTATCGGCTTCCCCAGGACAGGCTCTTTACACTCTCCTGAGTCGTGTCATGACTGCCCCGTGGCAGCGACAGAGCCCTCTGGGAGCTGCAAGCATCGAAACACTTCCAGGAGCCCCGCCATTTCTCTCGGCCACCCCGCCGCCGTCCATGGCCATCGCCTCGCACTTCGCCAGAGGCCACGGACGCTGGTTTCTTGAGGCCTGGATCGTCGGCGACTTCGCGGTGGACGCGCGCGGGAGGACCCCGAATCGCGCGCGGACCTGATGTGATGCGTCGTGCTTGCCTCCCCAGGCCGCGATTTCCTCTCCAACTTGGACCCCTGGAGGCTTCAACCGCTTCCCCAGGACGAGCGGAGGCGGAGGAGGCGGAGGAGGCGCAGGAGGGGGAGGAGGAGGAGGAGGAGGAGGAGGAGGAGGAGGAGGAGGAGGAGGAGGCGGAAGAGAGCGACGCATTCCCCGTCGCAGCCGTCTCGCGAGGAGGCTGGGGCCCTCCCTCGGGCCGCGGACACGCCGGCGAGGTGCGCACACCCGGGGGGGGGCTCCTCGTGGGCGGGGGGCCCGCCCGCCGCCCGCCCAGGGGCTGCTGCACGTGGCCTCCCGGGTGCCAGAGCACCTGAGCGAGGAGCGCCGCCGCCGCCGCCGCCGCCGCCGCCGGGAGGGGAGCGAGGGAGGGGAGGGTTTGGGGGGGGGGCGGAGGGAGGAGGCGGCGGAAAGGGGGGAGGGAGTGAAGGGACGGGAGGGAGGGTGGGGCAGAGAAGAAGCGCAGGAGGGGAGGAGGAGGAGGAGGAGGAGGAGGAGGAGGAGGAGGAGGAGGAGGTCAGTCGGCAGGAGGAGGTCAGTCGGCAGGAGGAGGCCCCCTCCACCGTGGAGCAGGAGACGGTCGCGATGCTCGTCGGGCTGGTGGTGCTGCGGCTGACCGCCTACCGGGAGGCCCCCTCCGCCCGGCGGGCCGGGGTCGGCGGGAGAGGGCTGGGGCTCTCGAGCAAGGATGACGACTCCCTCCTCCTCCCTCCTCCCTCCTCCCTCCTCCCTCCCTCCTCCCTCCTCCCTCCTCCCTCCTCCCTCGCAAGGATGACGAACACCTCTGTCGTCGATCGTTGCATATGTTCGTGCACTCGCATTCGCCAACGTATCGAGGACGCCTTCGGCGACTCGCCGCCGCCCCCGGCAGTTTAGGATCTGCCTGTGCGGCCAAACGTTTAGGCCAAGTTTGGCCGAGCCATTTGGGCGATGCGATTCCCCAGCCGGTGTGGAGGCACGTCGGGGAACACGTGGGCGAGGAAGAGGATGAGGAGAGGGAGGAGAAATGAAAATGAGGAGAAGGATGAGGTGACCTCTTGGGCTCCACTTGGGAAACTCTTGGGGCCTCCTGGGAGCTTCCTGAGGGCGTCTTGGAGGCGTCTTGGAGGCCTCGTTGGGCCTTGTGTGGGTCTCGTTGGGGGCTTCCTTCGCCGTATTATGGCGTGCCTGGCCCGTCTGACGCCGTCGGAAGCCATTTTGGGAGCTTCTCTGGGCCGTCTCGGGTTCCCATTGAGGCGCTTCAGGGTCGTCTTGAATGCCATCTTGGCCGTCTTGGAGGCATCTTGGGCCGTCTCGGGGCCCTTTTAGGGCCGTCTTGAAAGCATCTTGTGCCGTCCTTGGGCCATCTTGGAGGCCTCTTGGGTGCTCTGGGGACGATATTGGGGGCCTCTTGGGCCGCACTGGCCCGTCGGAAAGCGTTTCAAATCAAACGCCAAACAACTTCAAACACTTTTGGAAATCAATGGTGTTCATCTCTTCGGTCCTTCCTGGAGGACCTCGTGGAGGCCTCATGGACCGTCTTGGAGGCCTCTTGGGAGCCTCTGGGGCCATCTTGGGCCGTCCTGGGTGCATCCTGGGCCGTCTTGGGTGCATCTCGAAGGCATCTGGGAGACTATCTTGGAGATGATCTGACACAATTGTTCGGTGGACCGCAGCCCTACGGGGGAGGTCTTGACAAGAAGCAGCAACCATCGAACGTTCGGCACGTCGGGCACCCCTGTGATAAATCAGCAGGAGGCGGCTGATCGAGTGGCCTTCGCAACCGTGTCTGGGTTGTGGGTCAGAGTTCTCGGAGATGCTCATTGGGGTCTATTCGGACCGCTCTCTCGGGCCTCTTTGGGGCAGTGTTGGACCCCCATTGGGAGCCTCTTTGGGGCCTCTTGGGGGGGGGCCTTTAGGGGCCTCCTGGGTCCTCCTGGGGGGCCGTCGGGGCCGAAGGCTCGAAATGTCCGTTCAGGTCCCCCATCTGGGCCCCCTCTTGGAGCCGTCTGTGGGGCCTATTGGGCCGTGTTGGAATCATCTTGGACCGGTCTTGGGGCCCTCTGGGACCGTTTCGGGGCCCTCTTGGAGGCCTCTGGTGGTCGTCTTGGGGCGGTCCTGGAGGCCTCTTGGGTCATTATGGAGCGTCGGGAGCTCGAAATGTACAGAACGACAACATCATCGAACATCTAAGGCAAATGAGTGATTTTTGCCTCTTGGGGCCCTCCTGGGGGGCGTTTTGGAGGCACCTTGGGGCGTCTTGGCGGCGTCTGGAGGCCGAGGAGGGGTTGAAGAGGACTCAGGAGGAGGTGGAGCAGGAGCAGCAGCATAGACGGAGCAGCAAGAAAGGATGGAGAAGAAGGAGGGGCGTCATAGATCAGGGGGGCGACGAGGAAGAGTGAGACGGGAATGCAGGAGGAGGGCGAGAGGGGAATGGATGCTTTGAGGATGCTTTGAGTACCCTCCAGAACCGAGAACCATGTCTGCGTCAAGCCAACAGCCCTGACGAGTCGCCCCCTCTCCCTGGCACAAGTCAAGTCGATTCAGACTGCCTGGATTGCCAGTACCTTTGGGCAGGGGAAAGCTATCCCTCCTGCTCCTGCTGCCCCTCCTCTCTCCTCGTCTGCCCCCCCCCCTCTCCCTCTTCTTCTGATCATCCCTTTTCTCCCTCGTCCTCGCTTTCACCTCCGTCTCCTGCCTCGCCTTCCTCCTCCTCCTCCTCCTCCTTCTCCTCTCCCTCCTCCTCCTCCTCCCCCTCCCCCTCCTCCCCCTCCTCCTCCTCCTCCTCCTCCTCCTCCTCCTCCTCCTCCTCCTCCTCCTCCCACACGTACCTCCTCCCACACGTACCTCCTCCTCCTCCGCCTCCTCTTCCTCCCTCTCCTAGCCGTCCTCCTCCCGCCGCCCTTCTTCCCTTCCCCTTCCGCCCTGTTTCCAGCGATCAAATAGGCGTCGGATGTTGTCCGATGATGGCCACGTCTTCGGAGTCGCGCGATTGCGAGGGACGCGCGAAAGGCGCGAGAGAGACTGATAGATTTGGGGCAGGGAGCCTTGACCAGACCATAGGAAACGGCTTCCGAGATCTGGGTGGAGAAGTCCCCCCTCGAGGAAAAATGTCAGGTCCACACCGCCCACGTCTCATTGGTCTTATCAGGTTCGCCGCCCTTCTCAGAAAGAGACAGACAGAGAGGGAGAGGGAGTGAGAGAGAGAGAGAGAGCGAGAGGGAAACATAAACAACGGCATGAAATAGCCAGGCAGAGAGGGAGAGAGGGGGAGAAAGAGAGAGAGAGAGAGAGAGCGAGAGATCGGGGGAGGGCGGGGGGTCGGAGGACCAAAGGTGTGTCATCATCACCAGGACTCGAGTTGAAGGCCGCCGCGCGCTCAAGCTTTCGGTGACACAGCGGTCTCCTCAGAAGAGCCCTAGATTGTTCGCCAACCGGCAGAGAGCACACCTGCGATGGTAGCTCGCACGGATGCCAGCACCGGAGATAAGCCTCGTGCGGCATGCTGACGCGTTGCATGCTGAGGCCGGTTGAGAAGGTTTCCCACAAGGGGGAGCAGCCATACAAGAACAAACCGCCGCTTCTGCGCCACGCAACCAACGAGCACAGCGAGCAGCAGCTCAAGCAGCTCGACGGCGCCGAGAAGAGAAAGCTGGTGGCGGTGAAGGCGGAGTACGAGCTACTGACGAAGTTCTTAGCAGCGGTGCGGCGCAACCAAGACGAGAAGGTGTACGACAACCACAAAATCAGAACCAAGGGTCAGGCTGTCATCGTCATGGGGAACTACCACCTCACCTGCGCAACTTACCGAGCGAAATCCAGAGTCGAATGCCATTTCCAGTGCCACCGCTGCGACGATGGCAAGGCGCGCATCTTCTTGCACACTCTCAAAGGGAGCTACTATCCCACTTGTGCCGCCAACGGAGAGCAGTCCAACATCGTCTACGTCGTTGAGCACCACGGCTGCGACGACGGCAGCGCGCGCATCTTCTTGCATGTTCGTTGCGCGCAGTTCGCGCTCACGCCGAAGGAGTCCGAGAAGTCACATCAGGAGAGCTTGAAGGCGGAGCACGAGCCGCGCACGAAGCTCGTGGACGATGTGCGTGGGGACACAGTCAAGGATGACGTTGCCAACATCGCTGGAATGGAGCAGTAACACAAAAGGCACTACGACGAGCCCTTCGCCGACATCATGCTTTACGGAGCGCACAGCATCACAGGAGGCACTACGACGAGCCCGTCGCCGAGATTTTGCGCTACAGAGTGGAGCAGTACCACGGGGGGCACTACGACAAGCCCTACGTCGACATCGTGCGCCGCGGAGCGGGGCTGCCCCGCAGGATGCACTACGACGAGCCTTTCGCCGGCATCATGCGCTGCGGAGCGGAGCAGTACCACAGGAGGCATTTCGACGAGCCCTTCGCCGACATCACGCGCTACGGAGCGGAGCCAAGTCTCAGAAGACTCAGAGCAGGAGCGCGCCGAAGGGCTTGCGCCGCCAGTCTCAGCAGCTTTCGTCTTCGCTCCCAGGCCAAACCCCCCAGCAGCTGCCGACTCGGGGTCGGCAGGGCGCGCGCAGCCAGTCCCGGAAGACTCAGAGCTGGAGCGCGCCGCAGGGCGTGCGTCGCTAGTCCTAGAAGACTCAGAGCTGGAGCATGCCGCAGGGCGTGCACCGCCAGTCTCAGCAGCTTCTGTCTTCTTTTCTGGGCTAGCCGACTCGAGGGTGGCAGGGCGCGCGCTGCCAGTCTCAGCAGACCCAGAGCAGGGGCATGCCGCAGGGCGTGCGCCGCCGGTCCTAGAAAACTCAGGGTTGGAGCGCGCCGTAGGGCGTGCGCCGGCAGTCTCAGCAGTTTCTGTCTTCTTGCCTGGGCCAGCAGACTCGGGGCCGGCAGGGCTGGCACAGCCAGACTCTGCAGCTTCTTTTCTTGCGACTGGACCAGGCGGCCCAGCAGCTGCCGACCTGGGGGGTCAGCCCATCTTGAAGGGCCTGAGAGCCCGCTCGATCAGCTCTCGAATCCGAGAGCCATCCAGATGCAAGCATGATTCCCCCCTGAACGAATTCGAGACGATCGGCCTCACGACGGGGCTTGCGTGGCCAGCCTGAGCAACGGTCTCTTTTCCAACCTCCGATCCTCTCAACGCTCAGCACGCAACGCCGGCATCGCCAGCGGTCTACGGTTTTCCCTGGGCCGCGCGCGCATGTGTGCAGCACCCCGTGAAGCGCGGCTCCTAGTGAGCTCTTTAGGGAACAACCGAGCTCTCTGATGGATCATTGTTGTCTCTAAAACCTGTCGCTCAAGAGTTTGGTCCTGATGTCGAGGAGAAAAGGACTCGAGCAGACTCCCACGCTGGAGCAACAATCCCGCCCACCCATCTGCAACTCGGTGACACCATTCAATGGGCCGCGGTCGGAATTACCTGAACCATCTCGTTGGCAAATGCCCAGGGACGCACTAACTCGTGGACACTTTCCGGGCAGTCATGTAGCTCGTGCGCGCAGTTGATTACATGGACATGTAGCTCGCGCGCGCAGTTCATTACATGCGACCATGTTGATTTTGATAGTGACGATGCTGCGCATGAACATAATAGGGATGACGATGGGGATGGTGATGGTGGGTGGCAGCGTTTGGGAGGCCATTCTTGAAGAG